AAAAAAAAGTTTTATGAATTTTTTTATTTTATCTATTAATTTATAAAAAAGTTATAGATATAAAGAATTTTTTTATTATATTTCAAAGTTTTATTAATATTATTATTATTAACCATACTCATAAAAAAAAACTATAAGAATAATATTTTTTTATTAGTTTTAAAAAGTTTTATGATTATAATTATTTGTTTTTTTAAAAAAAATTTTTTATAAATTCTTTTATTATAATATTAAGTTGTTAAAAAAATTTATTTATAGAAAATCTTTATTTTTATAAGTTTTTTAACTATTTTTATTATTTATATATTTTCATACATAAAAAAAGTTATTAATATATTAAACAACATTATTATAATAATTAGTATTTTGTAATAATTTATCTTAAAGAAATTAATTTTTAAAACTATATTTTTTTTATTAGTTTTTTGAATATTTCAAAAAATTTATATTTTATTTTGAAAAATTATTTATATTATTTAATATCAATATTGTAAAAAAAAATTTGTTTATAAATTTTTTATACTTACTATTTTTAAAGTTATGAAATTATTTATTATTATGGATGAATGTAAAAATGAATGTAAAAAAAAAGTTTCCATAATAAAAAACTTCTTGTTATAATTATTTTAAATTGATTATATGTAAAAAAATATATATATAAATATTTTTTATTTTTCATTATCTAAAAAAGTTTTTGGAATATTTTTTATATGGTAAACTTTTTATTAACTATTTATATTGTAATATAATAAATAAATAAAAAATTATACATAAAAGACTTTTTCTTATATATTATTAAAAATATATTTAATAAATAAGCGAGGAAAAAATACTTATAAATTATTTACTTTTTATTTTATTTAAGTTTTTAGAAATTTTTTAATATTATTATAATAAACTTTTTATTTTATTCATAACTTTTTCATATATATATTTAATTATTTTATTGAAATTAAGAATTTAAATAAAATTATTTTTTTTTATTTTGATATGTTATGAATATTAATTATAAAAACTTTTTTATTAATTTCTTTTTGAAAATTATTATAAATTTTTAATTTTATTTCTTTTACTCTGCAAGTTTTTTAAAACTATGAAATATTACATATATAGAAAACTATATATAAAAACTGTTTATTTTTCATATTTAAAAAGTATTTCAAATAATAATATTAATATTATTATTATCTAGAAAACTTTTAATTTTTTTTTCATTTAAAAGTTTTTTAAAAGTAATAAAGTTTATATTAAGTTATTTAAAAAACTTAATCATTTTTGAATGGACTTTCATATTATTATTAGTAAAAAGATATTGTTTTTTAATTTTTTTGAAATTTTAGATAAAATATATTCCAAACTAAAATTTAGAAGAAATTTTTATTATTAATTACAATATTATCATGAAATTTTTTTTTATTTACTTAAAAATATTAAATAACATAATATATGCATTTATAAAAGTTATTTAGAAAAAATTTCTTTATTATTATTAATATTCATTAAAAAAAAATTAAAAAAAGCTTATTTTAAATTTTTTTATGTATAAACTATTTTTATTTTAATAATATATTATTGAGATTATAAAATTTATAGAAAATTTTTATTTTATTTTATTTTTAAAAGTTATTTAAATTTTTTATTATATTATTCTTATAGAAAAATTAATTATCTATTTTTTAAAAAGTTTTTATATATTTTGAATATAACTATTATTAAAAAAAATTTCAAAAAAACTTATAAATGAAATAATTTGAAAATATTTTGTTTAATTAATAAACTTTTTATTTAAATTTATTATTTTACTTTCTTACTGTAAAGGAAATAATATATAAAACTTTTATTTTAAAAAGTTCTTGAATATTATAAAAATATTAGTATATAATAATGATATTAAAAAAAACTTTAATTTTTTATATTAAAGAGGTTTTAACTTTTTTTTAATTTTATAGTAATATTTGCAAAAAGTATGATACTTTTCAATTTTTATTTTCTTAAAGTTTATAAAATATTTTTAGTATAATTATAATTTAACGAAAAAATAATAATAAAATTTTATATTATAATACTTTTTTTATATATAGTTATTTTTTTTTAAACTTTTTTATATTTATGATTGCTTTTTTGAGGTTTATTTTATTATTATTATTATTACTTATATAAATGTTTAAATATTATTATAATGCTTAACTTTATAAAGTTTTAATTAAATTTTTATTATTTTTTCTTCTCAATGTTTACTTTTTTATAAATTTTATTACTATTTTATAATGTTTTGTATATTTTTAAAAGTTTTATTATTATTAAAATATTTTTTATTAGTATTACTGCTATAAACTAAAGTTTTTTTATACTAATTATTATTGTTCACTTTTTTTAATTATTATTTATTATGTATATTTTGTATTGATATTATTTATCATTTATTGTTATTGTCTATTTTATTATACTTATTATTAAATTTTTTTATACTTTATAATTATTATTTTTATTAGTAATAATACATTTTTTTAATATTACTTTCTAAAGTTTTTGAACTATTTTTTAACAAAATTTATATTATTTCGAAAAGTCTTAATGTTAATATTTACTTTTAAGATTTTTAAGATTATTTTTATTGTTACTTTTTTTACATTTTAATAATTATTATTAAAGTTTTTTATATATTTTTAAATATTTATCTTATAGTATTATTTAGCTTTTTTTTTTTTTTAAATTTATTATTGTGTGTGTTTTTATTTTTATAATTAATAATTTTTATTTTATTAAGTTTATTATTATTGTGTATTTTATAGTATTAATTTATAGGTAACTAATATTTTATAAAAATTCATTATTTTTATTTACTCTTTTATTTTTTATAATCTCTTAAATATTTTTTACTTTGTTGTCATTATTTTTAGTATATTTAATATATAATTGATATTATTTAATCTTTTTTATTTACTATTTTTTTTATTACTTTTAATTTTTTCTTAATATTATTAGAAATATTATAATTATTATCTATAAAAATTTAAAAGTTATTATAACCACTTTATAGGATATTCTAATTTTGAATAATTTTTTATTTTTATTAATTATAATTCGAAGTTCGTAATATTTCATTAATATTTAAAAAACTTTTTTTAATATAATATTTGAGTTTTCTAATATTATCTTAATATTTTTGGAGTTATTATTAAAAAATTTACTATCTATAAACTTTTACGAGTTAATAAAACTTTATTATACCAAATTTTATATCATTGAACAAGAAATATTTTCATTATCATATATAATTACCAAAAGTCATAATATTTTATCACTACTAAAAAAACTTTTTTTATTTAATATTTTTTTAAGTATTTTTAATATTTTCTAAATATTATTAGAGGTTTTATAAAATTAAATTTAAATCTTTCAAATGTTAGTAAACTATTTTATAGTAAATTTTACATTATTCAGTTAAGTTTTTTTTATTACTTAAAGTTTGTAATATTTCACGAGTACTAAAAAAACTTTTATTATTTATTATTTTTGAGTTCTAATATTTTCTTAATATTATTAGAAATATTATATAATAATATATATTTTATTTAAAAATTTCAAAGTTAATAGAACTTTATTATACTTTTTATACTTAAAAGAAAAACTTTTCTAATATTTTTATAAACATTTATTTAAAACTTTAGACCATCCTCTCGTGGAACGTCAGTTCGGGCGAAAAAAAACTTGAATTTTGCGGACACGACCACGTGGTCGAATGTGTGGCCTTTGCGCCAGTAGCTTCGCTTCCGCACATCTCAACACTTTTTTGTAGTGAAAATAAAGAGGCCTATAAACTTAACGGCAGTATATTTGCAACCGGTGTTATTATTATTATCTTGATTATTACTATTATTATTTATTTAATATTATAATCATTACAATTAATATTATTATTATTATTTATTCTTCATTTTATTTACTTATATCTTATTATAATTATATATAACTAACAATATTATTTCTTTACTCATTATTACTATCCATCTTATATATTTAGATAATACTATTAACTATTAACTATTATTATTACCATTTTATTTTTTATTTATATAAAAAAAATTATTTTTACTATTTTTTAGTGTTATTATTCATATCAAATTTATTATTATATTTATCTGTTGCTATTATTATCCATTTCATTAATTTATTTATTATTTATTATTATTAAATCCAATTTTACTTATTAACATTACTATTATTATTATTCCTTTTAAATATTTATTTAATATTATTATTGTTTCTTTTACTTATTAATAATCTTATTATTATTCGTTTTATTTTTTACTTATATGTTATTATTTATTTAGTAATTACTAATAACTATCATTATTACCATTTTATTTTTTATTTAATTTTATTATAATTCATTACTATTATCATTTATTTCATTAATTTATTAATGTATTAAGTTTTATTATTAATTATATATGTAGATACTGTTATTATTCATTTCACTAGTAATATTAATATTATTCTATTATTCCTTTTAAATATTTTTTATTTAATATTATTACATCTATTTTTTTTTACTCATTTATTATTATTATTTGTTAATTACAATTATATTACTTGTGTATTTATTACTGTTATCACTATTTTATATTATTATTATTTATGTTATTTCTTTAATTATTTTATTGTTATTTAATATCATTGCTCTATCCTTTATTTTTTTTTTAATTGTTCGTATTTATTTCCTATTTATCATAAATAATATTATTTATTTTACTTATTTAATAGTATTTAGTATTATTACTTATTTTATTTAATTAGTTTTTGTTATTTATTTTATTTATTAATCATTATTAATAAATATATAAAACATTAAATTTCTTGTTGTATTACTATCAATATTCATTTTATTTTTACAATAATTATTTATTTTATATATTTACTATTTATTATTATTATAATACACGTTATTTATTTTTTACTTTTTATTTATTATTATTATTTATTTTATTGAAAAAATATTTATATATAATCGTAATTATTAAACTTTTTAAGGTTCCAGAGATAAGTTAATAAAGTTGTGGGAGCTTTCTTCTGGCCATTGCGTAGCCACTTTGGTTCGTAATAATAGTAATAATAATAAAACCTTTTAGTTTCCTATCCTTTTATTAAATTATAATTATAATAATAATACTAGTATATAATATTATTATATTTAAAAAAAAAAAATAAAAATAAATATATATAATGAATGAGTAAGAAAAACAGTAAGGAGAAAAAGGGTAAAGAAATACAGTCTGAAAAATAAATAAGTGATAATAATAATTATCCTATAAATATAAAATATAATAAAAAAATTATAATAAACTACAAACTAATACAAAAGAAACTTTAATAATAACTGCGCTGATATTTTTATTAAATATTTCATTTACTATTAACTTTTTACTTAATTTTTATTTTAATGTATTCTCGCAAAATAACGTTTTTTTACTTAATTTACTTTTAATTATTAATAATATTTTATAAAATGTGTTGAAAAAAACTTTTGACAACGAAGAAATGATATAAATATTTTACAAAAATAATATTTTTTTTAATAATTTGATGTTATTAATTAATATATAAGAAATTAATATAATAACTATAAATTTAAAATATTATTTTTATAAAAAAAAATATAGCATATGAAATTAACAATAATTATTTTAATAAATGGAAAAAAAAACTTTTTAAGGGTATTATTTAAAATTTTATTATAAATTTTGTAAACTTATAGTAACGAAAAATTGTATTTTATTTAATAATTTTTATATTTTAGCTTATTTTATATTATAAACTACTCCTTATTGATATTTTATTAATATATTGTTATAGATTTCTTAATTACAAAGAAATCACGTGTTTTTAAAAAACTTTTAGTCCACACCCAAGTCGAGATTTATCACGTGGGTGTATAGTTTACTAAATTTATAGCAATAACAGATAGCATTTACTCCATACTTGGTTACTATTATGACGCAGGTTATCCTTTGACTTACCAGTTTACGACAAATTTTAAGACAGGGCATGATAACTGGGTGAGAGGATTATGCTTTCATCCACTTGGAAAGCTCCTTTTTTCCGTCGCAGACGATAAGGTATTTCTTAGTGGTTGTTATTATTAATAATATGAAGATTATTACATAGAAGTTTTTAGTATATATTCATTTTTAATATATTTTTAGTTTTTAGTATATATTCATTTTTAATATATTTTTATAAAATTTCATTGCTTTTTAATGATATTAATATATTTATAATTATTTATATCTTTTTATTATTTTTTTGCTTTCCTTATATTTTTTTTAAAAATAAAAATACTTTATTTTATATATATTTTTTTGGGTTTTCTTTATTGCATATTTATAAATTTTTCCATTGGTGACTTTTTTATTATTTTTTATTATTTTTATATTCGTTATTTATTTTTATTGCTATTTCTGTTTTTTTTAAACTCTTAACTTTTTATACTGTTTTATTAATTTTTTTTTAAAGAACACTTGATTGAAAAAAAAACTGGATGAAAATTGATTAAAAAAAAAATTTGTTATAAACTTTTTTTACATTAAATTATTATTATATTATTATCAAACGTTTTTTTGTAGAAATTCATATAAGGAAAATAACTTATTTTTAGAAACTCTTTTATTATTATAATTATATCTCTTTTTATTATGTTAACTTCACTTTTTATATAAATTGTTACTTTATTATTTTATTTATTACTGCACGTTTTGTTTAATTATACTTATTCTTATAGAATATATTTTTTTTAAATTTTTTAATGTTAATTTATTAATATTTATAAATAAAAGTTTTCTTTTATGACATTTATTATCTTTTGTTATGCTAATTTTATAAAATAGTACTATTTTTTTTATTCTTACGTAAATTTAAATATTCTTTATGAACTTTTTAAATATTATTTATAGTTATTTTATTAAAATATTAATATTTTTATAATATTCTAAATAATTTTCGGTTAACTTTTATTTAATATTAATATCCTCTATTTTTTATATATAAATTAATTTTATTTTATAAGTAGAGATGAACTTTTTTAAACAAAAATTTAAAATTATTTTTATAATTAATATTTTATAATTTTTTAATATTTATCGATTAACTTTTATTAAATATTAATATTTTCTATTTTTTTTATATAAATTTATTATTACTTATAATTAGAGATGCACTTTTTTTATTGTTTTTAGTTATTCATTAAATATTAATGTTTTCTATTTAAATAAAAATTTATTTTTTATAAGTAGAAATAAGGATTTTTTAAATGTTTAGTTATTGTAAAAAATATTCATATTATAAATTTTTTTATATTTTAGTTTTTTTTATAATTTTACTTAAACTTTTTAAAACGTTTTCATTACTAAAATTATTTTTTTATATAAATTTAATTTTGATTAGATTTTAAAATTTTTTAGTTTTTTATATAATTTTATTATAAATTATCTTTTTAATAGGTTTTTAATTTTTATTGTGTATTAAAAAATTTTTATATAAAAAGTTTTCTATTTTTCTCAAATATATATTATAAATTTTTTGATTATTTTTTTTTACAAGTATTAATCAACTCTTTAAAATGTTTTTGATATAAATATTTTTATAAATTTTTTATATAAATTTATTTTTTTTATTATAAATTAAAACTTCGTTACATATTAATTTTTTTAAAACGATATTTTCTGTAGTTACTGATTTATTATATATTACTAACTTTCGTTATTTAAATTTAATTTTCTATAATTATCAACAAACTTTTATATTATATTGATTTTTATTATATTAATAAAGTTTTTTAATATCTATCATTATGTTTAGTTTTATTTTTAGTATATTTTTATATATTTATTGTTTATAATAATAAAGCTAACTTCAATAAAATATTATTTTATTTATAATTAATTAATTATTATTTATCCTTGAATAATAAGATTTTTACATATTTATAATACTAGTAATACTTATTATTTAGTTTGTTATTAAAATTTTATTTAATACTTCGATTATTTTTATTTATATAATTGTACTTATAAACAATTTTTTTAATATTAATATTTTTATTTTTATATATTGAAAATTTTATATTTATTATTTATTTTTACTGTACAAGTAAAAATTTTATTTTTTTTTATATTATTTATAATTACAATTTTATATATCTATTTATTTATTTAAGTAAATTTTATAAAAATTTAACTTCCCAATAAATAATTTTATTATTTTTTATTTATTTCCTATTTGTTTTGTAATTCTGATATAATTTATATTAAAAAATATTTGTCGTATAAATACTAATTATGAACTTTTTTTTCAATATTTTTTTATTTTTATTCACTATTTTCATTAAATTTTTTAATTTATTTTTAATTTTAACTTTTTATTAATTATTTATAATAACAAATTTTTATTATTTTATTTTTTTAATATAAATTTTTATAGAAATAAATTTTACTTTTTCAAATAATTTATGTTTCATTATTTTTTATTTGTTTTGTATTACAAATTTATCTAATACTAAAAAAGATTTAAATTTTTTTAATTATAAATAATTATTTTTAAACTATTTATATTTTTATTTTTAATATTTTTTTAAAATTTTTAAAATTTATTATTTAATTTTACTTTTTGTTATACATATAAAAATTATTATTATAATATATTTTTATATTTTTGTTTTTATTTATTTAAAAATAAATTATTTTAAAGTAAACTTGGCTTTTTTAAATAATTTAAAAAATTTTAATTAATTTTTTATTTGTTTTATAATACAAAATGGTTAATATCCAAAAATAATAATAATTATTTATTATAATATTAATAATGAACAATTATCTTTGAAAATTAATATTTTTATTTTTATATATATTTTTATATAATATTATACTTTATTCTTTACTTTTTACTTTTAGTTACTCAAATGAAAAAATTATTTTATTTTATTTTAATTATTTATAGTTAAAAGTTTATAAATATTAATAAATATATAATTTTTTTCCGGCTTTGATCTTATAATATTATAAAATATTTAAAATATATATTATATATACTCATTAATTATAAACATTACTATTTTTATATTAATTATTTTTATTCGTTACACAAATTTTACTAAAATTTATTATTTTCTTTCACATTATTAACCTCAACTTTTTTAGAAAATTTTATTAATTTTTTTATTTGCTTTCTTTACAAATTTTTATTAATAATAAAATTTATTTCTTTACTGTTTTTATGATTATAAATATCCTAATATATACTTTATATATATATATATATATTTTAGTATATTTAATATTAGCAATATTTCATCAATGAACTTTTATTAATTAAAATTAATTGAAAACGTTTATAGTAATAATTAAGTTTTTTTTTGTTATTAACATTTTGTTAAGTATTATTATTCTTTATGTCCAATAAAAATTAATTATATCCTATTTTTGTGTTTTTAGAAATTATAATTATTAATTTTTTTTTAATATTATTTATTTGGTATTACAGTTTTATTATTTAACGAATAAAAGTATATTAGTTATTACCTTTTGAATAAAATTTATACTTTTATTAAAAAAAATATTTATTATTTAGTATTATCAAATTTATGGTTTTTTTCTCATAATTTATTACTTTAATTTTTTATTAGTTAACTTTATACTTTTTTTAAAATATTTATATTATTATTAATGTCTTTAAACTTTTTTTTATAATTTCATAATATTCTTAATTTTTTGCATACATAAAATATATTAGTTATTACTTTTTTATTAAACTTTATAATTTTTTTTTTTAAATATTTATTTTATTTATTTTTATAAAGTTTTTAAACTTCTATTATAATTTATTAATTTTTTTATATATATATTTATCATTTATTACTTTTTTTTAATACTTTATACTATTATTAAATTATTTATATTTCTTATTATTAAAGCTTTTCCACTTTTTTGTTATAATTTAACTTTTTACTAAACTTTTGGAATTTCTTTTTTCAATAAATTTTTTTTTAATTATATATATTTTTTTTGTTATATTGTTAATTTATTTTTTTTTGAATATTGAAATTTTTGTTATATTACATTAATTTTTTTTACTTTTTTTTTTTAAATAAGAAAAATATTAAATTTTATTTTTATATTTGTTGTATTATACGAGTTTTTATATATAAGTTAAATATTTTCTTTGTTATTATAAATTTACTTATTTAAGTTTTTTATACGTTAAATACATTATTTATTCCTTTATTTATTATTAAACTTATATATATATATTTTTTTAATTATATAATATAAAATATTAATTATTACTTATTTAATTTTTTCTTAATATTTATATTTTCGTTCTTAAATTTTTTTTTATATGTAAAATATCCAGGTCGTTTTATTATAATTTTTTTATTTTTCTTAAATTTTATTATAAACTATAAAATTACTTTTTTATTATTAAACTTTTTTTATATATTCATTTTTTAAAAAAGATTTTTTTTAAAAGTTTTTAATATAAATTTCTATCAAATTTTTATATTTTATTTAAGGCAGTTCTACTATTTTTATATTTTTTAAAATATTCTGACTTTTTTGTATTTTGTTCTTTTAAACTTTCATATTTTGATATTCATATTTTATTATTATATAATTTTTTAAATATTGTTAGTTTTTAGAAAAAGTATATAAAGTATATATTTTTTTTACCTTTTTTTATTTTCGTATTAAACTATTTTATTATACACTTTTATATATATTGATTATTAAAATTATTAAATAATTTATATTTTTTTTAAACAATTTTTTTGTCTTTTTTACATTAATTTTATTACTTTTTATATTTATAATAATATTATTAATATTTTTACACTAAATGGTTAAAAAGATTCAAAAGTAACCCATGAATTACTTAATAATATTCCCTTTTTTAAGTACTTATATTACTATATAATAAGAATTTATTTTTAACAATTTCAAATTCTGGTTGAATTTAAATTTCTTAAGAAATTTAAAATTTTTTTTTTTAGTAATAATAAAGACTTTTCTTATTATTATTTCTGTTTTTTTATTATCTTCTACTCAATATTTTTTATTAAACATTTTTCCAAAAAATTGTTGCCATCTGACTGTAAAAAAGTTAAAATTTAAAATCATTTAATTGCTTCCGCAATTTTTTTTTATAATAACAACTGGAAGCTAAAACGATATTTTTTATTTAATATAAATTATTATTAATTTTTTTACTACTATCAAATTCTATAATAAAAATAATTTAGTTTCTCCGTAACTTAAATTTTATAATAAAAAATTTTAAGTCATTTGCTTTACAAAAGCTAAAAAAGTTTAACTTTTTTTTAATTATAAAAATTATTTTTCTACATTTTTTGCAATAAAAATTTTAAAAATTTAGAATTTAAAATAATTTAATTTTCTCCGAAATACATTTTTTTAAAAAGAATGTTAACTGCTTTATAAAAGCTCTATTAAATTTTATTTATTATTATCTTTTTATAAATTTTTTTTATTCTTTTCACTATCTTCTCATTATAATAACGAGAATTAACTAAAATATATTTTTAGTTATATTTAAACTTTAACCCATGTAGAAATTTCAAATAATTTAATTTTTTTTTTCGGAAATATATTTTTTATAGAAGTAATTTTGTTTTCTTTATAAATTCAAAACTAGATTTTATCTTTTACTTTTTTTAACAAATTATGAATTAAATTAAATCTTAATATAAGCAATTAAAATTATTTGCTCCATGAATCTACACTAAAGTTTATTTTTTAACATTTTGTAACAATTAATACATTTGATTTTTTTATTATTATTAATTACTAAATTTTTTTTTACTATTTTTTTATAATAATTGGTTAATACTTTACTTTAGACATTGCGCTTGTGGGATCTTGAAACTGGCAGAAACGTTAAAGCCATCGTTGCACATTCCCACTTTGTTACTTCAGTAGATATACATAAGAAATTTCCAGTGATAGTCACTGGAAGTGTAGACCTATCTACTAAAATCTGGGGTCCCCGGTGAAATTCGAAATTTTTAATCACAATAATAAAAAAATTAAAATTATGTCAGCCTTTTTAAAAAGGGACTCCGTTTATATTTGGTTTTTTTTAATTTCTCTTAAATTTTTTGACCTTTATTACTTTGAGGCAATTATATAATAATTTTGGTATGAAAATTTAAGAGATTTTTAATCAATTAAGAAAAGATTCTCATATTCATTACTTAGGACTTTTTAAAGTTCGGTTTTGATATATTTAATAAAAAAAATTATTAAAATTATAAAACTCGGTAAATTTACAGAGGTTAAATTTCCTTATCTAAGGCTATAGAATATGTCGAATTAATTCGCCTCGGCTTCTTTGCTTATGCTGATTGTTAAATAAGAAGTCACAAAATCGAGGGATATAAGAGAATGTAAAAAAAGTATAATAATGAAAGAGAATAATAAAAATAAAACAAATTTAAGAACAAGACAAAAATGCTTTATATGTTTATAACAATAGTATAAATATTTATATTATATTTCAAGTGTAAGAAAGCGATTCACTGTTTATGTAGTTTTTGCTATTAGTTCATTAATATTAATTTTTAATAGAGAATTCTAAAGACTATATCGTAAAACTTTAACTATATGAGTCGAATAGGAAGTAATTTTATCTTTGCGGTTGCAAGTTACATTATTTAGTACTAAAGAATTTCTAAAGCTTATAAAATCTCTGCAAAGTATGCTTTGGCCATCCATAAAGAAATCTGTTTTGGTCAACACTGTAGATGCCGTGGATGAGACCGCTGTGAGCTGGCCTATTCCTTAGCTTTTCGTGATCAAGAACAAGCCGATTGTCATACAACGGAATGATAGCGAAACCGCTCCCATTTTGCAATAAATAAGAAAATTAGTAACTGTGTTGAGATTAACGAGGTATTTAATCTATTCCTGGTAACGTCTTATCATTAGTTTCTCCGTTAGCCACTGTAAATTCTTTTAAATTTTCCTTCCATGATAATCTTCGTAACACATAAGGATAGTATATATGCAAGAAAAAAGCAAAACTATAGTAAAATACTAGAGCTCTACTTTAACTGCCGGCAAATAAAAGTCGTTGTCTAGGACGTTTTGGATATGCATAAATATATTTCGCGATTTAAGCAGGTTGGCATTATCATTGGGCTGATTAGTTACACTTTATGAGCCGGTAAGTCCTTGTATAAAGCTGAAACAAATATAGTAAGCTCTATTTACAAAAAATGTTATTAACAACGGTAGTTTGTAGTTGTAATTGCCGTGTAAAAAGCATATTATTTTTAAGCTTCTCTCTTACCTCTCATTGAGGCATGCTTCGAAATGCTGTATTATGCAAAAGTCATAAACCCTAATCGTTTGCTGACGCTACTGTTGATATCCTAACTGTTTTTCTTACTGTATTTATTTATTTTCCTAAGTGATAATAAGAATCCTTGGAATTAACATTGGTTCCAGTGAAAAAATTAGTACAATACGGACGATTTTCAAAGTGAGTAGTTGCATATGAAAGCTAAAAGTCATAGAGGTTATAGTAATAAGTAATATTTAATAGTACTGTTTGTAGGCAGCTTATGTTTAATAAGTTAGTTCGGAGTCTGGGCGTTGCTTAATATTCACTGTTCCGAATAAGCTAAAATCTCTAAATTTTAAGTACCAGTATATGTGTTATTTATCATAGCTTCCGTATTGGCTCCATGATTGCGACTTAATTTTATTACTGGTTAGATACTTAAAACTATCACACCAGAGTTAAGAGCATCAACGCGTCAACTTGACCTTTTGGGTTTTTGATGGTCGTGTAGCTAAACTCGCCCTAACTGAGAGCTGATTCTGTTGCATGGGGTCATGTTATTATTTTATAAATCTAATAAAATAATGCTAATACTAGACCTTTTGAAGATAATAATTAACCTCTATATATGAACACTTTTTTACCTCTACAAAGGGTTATTTTGAGAATTAATTCTGCATAAGGAAGGAATTCAAGCAAGAACGACTGTTGTTTTCCGATTCCTTTCAAGAGGCAGCATCCTAGCCAAAGCTGGGGCCACCGCTTTGTAAGCTGTAGTTATCATTCAAAGTTTCTTTTTTAGGTAACGGTGCAGGTCTCTAGGAGGGCACTGATCGTTAGCTATAGCTTCTTTAGTTTTCTTATAAGCTAGTTCATTCTTGAGCAAAATAAGGATTTATTCAGTGGTCTATTGCCGGAAAAAAGCGGTTTTGTACCATATACGCCTCTATCATGTCTGATATGCTTCATCGTTCTTCTATTCTGACTCTCCAAAATTGCCTTGTTAAAGGACTGTGCCTTCCTCTGATGGAATAGATGTTTACTAAAGACTCTTATGAGAGGCTGTCACTTCTATGACCCACGACTTTTTTTATATTACCGGCTTTTGAAGCTTAACCTATCATAGTAATGATTATCAAACCATCAAGTTAAGATTGTGTCTTCGATCGGTTTAAATTTAGGCTTAGGGTGAGCATGCATGCGTGGACACTGTCAGAAATAACTATTATTTCTATCGGAAATCTCCGAGGAGCTCTAGCTTACCTTTTTGTAAAGGCTACGTTTGTCCCTAATTCGCTTGTAGGCTGGTAGTACTGCATACCGATATATGTTGTGGTTTCCCAGCAGCTACAGTATGCGTGTAATATAGCTTCATTGCCTGCTATCTATTCTTATTGGTAACTAAAAAAAGCCAGTAGAACTAAATGTACAGTTTTATTATTGGTCAATTTGTGTAACTGTTGCACCTATCCCCATGTGAGTGAGAACGTATGAAAGCAACGGGTGTATTACCAAATCTTTGGCTCAAGTGTTAACAAATAACTCTTTGCTCGGTTTCTAAGACTTTAGAATAGTAACAATATATGGTGGCTTAAACGTAGTATAATGTAATAAATAACCCTCCATTGGATTATTCACTATTATTAAAAAACCGGGACCTGTTTGTGATTATGCTGAGGTACTGGATGCATGCACTCCCTCATAGTGCTATTTATCTATGTATACATGTACGCGCGCGATAAGCTTAATAGAAGGTTTTAATATTGCTTAATAGTCCTTTATAATATTTTTATAAAATTTGATTTTTTATTAAATTCAGATGCTTAGTAGTCGTCTTGGGCTCCCCGTGAACGTGTTGTACTGTTTCGTGGTTTAGAACGAAGCTGGTTATTCAACTGTAAAATCTCCTCTTCTTTTTCAGAGATTTCGTTTTGGGCAGATCGTAAGCGGTTGCGAAGGTTTGATATGTCGCCTTCGGTGTCTTCAAGTTGCTTTCTTAAGCTGTCCGCTTTTTTCTTCATTCGGTCGGCCTGCATGCGAGCATCGGCAAGTTGCGACTGCACTTCCTGGCTCTCATTCTTAGCCTCTCGTGCCACGCGATCGAGTTTCTTAATCTTTCTATTAGCGTCGTCTATTTGACGCCTACTATCATCCAGTTCCTTTTGCAGGGATAATGCATGGTTGTTAGACTGCTGCAGTTGTGTATTTAATTTGCGAAGCTTTTCCTCGCCTTCCTGTTTAACAGCTTCTACAGCCTCATTCGACTTCTTTACAGATTCACTCAAGCGTTTTTCAAGATTATCTGCTTTTTCCTGGAGGCCAGAAGTGGAGGCCCGAATGTTATCCACTTCGGACTGCAGTTTAGCTTTTGCAGCCAAAACGCTTTCGAACTCTTCTGTCTGCTGTTCAAGCTCTCCTTTGGTAGTTTGTAATTCCTGTTCTGCGCGAGAGGCTTTATCACGAGTCATCTTTAATTGTGTATTAATAGTATCCAGCTGAGCTGAAAGCTCGGTACACTCTGCTTCGACTTTCTTTCGGGATTTTTCAGAGGAGTCCAAATCATTCATGGCTATTGACAACTGCTGGGATAAAGTCTTGTTCTTAGCTTCCAAATCCTTTATTTTACCCTCCTGCTCCTGATTTACAGTTCTGATACTGTTCAATTCCTTTTGGACATTCTTCAAAACTTGTTCAGCGCGTCGTTGAGCCTCGAGGGCGCGACCATGAGTACGTTCGAGTTCCTCTAAGTTTTTGGTATAATCTTCAAGTTGAGACTGAAGCTGGAAGCACTTGTTAGTGAGCGTGTTCTTCACTTTTTCCAAATCATCCATCTCGTCTTGCATGTTTCTCTGCTTCTTCAAATAACTGTTCTTTAGCTCCTCTAAAGTACTATCAAGATTGTTTTCCGTTTGCGAGAGTTTATTACGCAAACTTGAAATCTCCACCTCCTGAATTTTATTGGTCTCTTCGAGCTTATACAGCTCGTCACTCATTTCCTCAATCTCTCTGTCCTTCTCAGACAACAAACACTTGAGCGACTGCACTTCCGACTTCAACGACGCAATATCGCCGCCGGACGTTCTTAAGGACTCGACCTCGTCGTTGAGCGTCTTCACTTTTGAATTCAACATGGCCTCCGCTGACTCGAGATCCTCAATAAGCTTTCTAGCTTCGTACAACTTGGTAGTAGCATCCATAGTTTGGTGAGCAGCGGACTCGGCTTCGCCTTTGTACTTATCGCACTCGGCTCGAAGGCTGCTCACTTCGCTCTCGAGCTGACGTGCTCGAGTAGTGGCCTTCGAGACCGAGTTGGACAGCCGAGTCAGCTCAGCTTCGTGGTCCTCCCGCTCACGCTGGTAGCGTTCAGCAGTAGCTTTGTGGGCTTTGCTACTTCGCTCGGCGGTTTCTAAGGCTTCTTGGAGATCATCAAGCTCTTTCTTTAGCTTAGCCTTTGAGCGTTCCGCTTCTTCAATAGTTTCTTCCAGTTCGTGGAACTATATTGATAACAAAAAAATAAATAAAAGTTAATACTAGCAACAGTATATAAAATATATAATAAATATTAAGCCCACCTTTGACTTATAGGAAGACAGCTGGCCCTGCAGATTCGACGAAGACTTCTTATACTCGTCAATAGACTCTTCTGCTTCACGTAGTTCATCCCGGAGGGACGCAAGCTCTTCTTCGTACTGGCGCTGGGAGGCCTTCAGGTTGAGTTTTTCACTATTTTCTGCCTCGTACTTCGAATTCAACTCAGCAATTTGCTCTTTGAGAGTTTTGCTGTCGCGCTCAAGCTTAGAAGCCTCCAGTTCTTTCTTCTCCAGTTCAGAGGAAAGTCGAGAGTTTTCCTTTTTGGCTTTGGCGTTTTCAGTCTCCAGTGACTGAATGCTATTTTGCTTCTCTGCTAGCTGAGAATTGACAATGTCCAGTTGTTCTTGCAGTGCTCGATTCTTCTTTTCCATATTTCTGGCGCTATCTGCACACGTTTATAGAAAGCATTCTATATATATTGTAGGAAGTTAAAAAAGTGACGTACTCTCTGATCTGTCCAGTTCTTCCTGCAATTCACTAACATTTCTCTTCAGCGACGACGCCTGGCCTTCTGCCTCTTTCTTCTGCCTTCGTAGGCCGTCCAGGTCGGACTCTAATAGGTTAATTTTATCCTGCAATGACTTTCGAAGGGCAGCGGCGGACTCTTCAGCGTCTTCTCTAAAGTTCGCAAATTCCTTTTTCAAGTTTTCAATCTCCATCGACTTATTTTTCAGTTCTTTTAATTTTTCCTCATCGCCCTTGAACATTTCTTCGTCCAATTCTTTGATCCTTTCAGCCGATGAAGAAATTTCTTTTTTGTAGCGCTCAACAGCAACAGACTACATTTGCCAGGAAAAAAAAAAACTTTTAATATAATAAAAATAAAAGTAAACATAAAATCTCAACTTTTTCTTCGAGTTGCTCTTTGAGGTCGTTAATCTCGCCAGACAATTCTCTATTCTGCTTCTTCAGTTGTGCAATCTCATTATCTTTAGCTTCAAGCTCTTCAGTTTTCTGCTGAAGCTCAGTTTTCGCCTTCTCAAGTTTACTTTCCAAGTCAGCTATTTTGGCCTCCAACTCGGCGATGCGTGAGTCCGAAGCAGCCAATTGGCCAGAGAGACCTCGCTTTTCTCCTTCTAGATTGGTTCTAACTTTTTCAAGCTCCGACACTTTTTCTTCGGTTTCCTTTAGAGCCTCTCCTAACTTTCCAGAATTCTTCTCGTATTTCTTGACTTTTTCTTCGAGCTTGTCAAAGTTCAAATTCTAAAAATAAAAAAATAAAAACGTATAACTATAATAAAAAAGTTCCAAGCAGAAAAGGTTGATTATAGTGAATACCAATTCGCTGAGCTCTGCTTCGAGCTTGCCCTTCTCTCTTGTAAGTCTCTGATTGGAATCTCTTTCCTGGTCCAGCTCGGAGTTTAGCGAATCAAGTCTTTCCTTGAGACCATCACGCTCAGCGTTGAGGACGCAAAGTTGGGACTGTGCAGACGATAAAGAGTCTCGCACTTCCTCGAGCTGCTGTTCAAGCAAAAGGCGTTTTTTGTTTGCTTCAGAAGCTTCTAACTCCGCAGTCTGCGTGTCATTTTCCATATCTTTTTACAAAATATATTATGAATATCCCAATAAAGTAAGTAATATTTCCCTTAAAGGTTCCAATACCTTCCAAATCCTTTAAAAGACTCTTATTTGTTTCTGTCAGGCGGCTAAGTTGATCGCTACAAAAGCCAATATCCGATTCGAGCTTATCTATTTGCTTTTTCATGTTGCTCCGTTCGTCTTCCAGACTCTTTTTTTCTTGCTGCAATTTATTGTTTTCTCCGGCAAGCGCCTCCTTCTCTTTAGTAAGCGAATCAACTTTACGAACCAAATCGTCCTGCTGGATTGTCGGAATTAACACGCGCACGGAGTTGTACAGAAACCACCACGGCCACTTTCGCAGCTGCAAGTACTTCCTAACATTGACCTGAATCCGCTTGACCGCCACCTCAAAGTTAGTCAGCCGCTGGAAGGCGCGCCGCGCTAGATAGCCTTGACAATAAGCCTGAATGGCTCTAATAAATTTAGATAACTTTTCGTCTCGCATTTCTTCCAAATGGCCCAATACGGTTGGACGAAAGAATATTTTAGATGTCCCGATGCGGTAGTTGTCCTGCTTAAGGTCACACGTATTCTGGAGTTCCTGAAGCATAAGCTCGCAAATTTTTCGTCCATCCATAAACCCTTCTGGAATCGCCTTCGGAGCGAGAATTTCGTACCGGTGTCTAAACTCTGCAAACAGCACGCGGTTCGGAAATCCCTGGCGGCAAATACGAATTCCCTCCAGCACACCGTTGCAACGGAGCTGGTCTAGCACAATAGGCACCGAGATATTGCCAGGTTTCTTTTCGTGGTTGGGGATAATACATCGAACGAAGTGTGGAGACGTTTCTTTAAGCGTATTCATTAAAGAGTTCAACGAGTCTTTATAACTACTAGAAACCGTTCGAAAGATCCCCCGGCGCCTTTGGGAAGAGAGAGCCTCTACCGATTGGTCACGGAACAAGGATGCTAAAAATTTGAATTTCGAAACGGCAAATAGTGACGTAATATTATCGTTAAGCGGGTCCTGGTTTCGCACGATCCAATTATCTACTGTATAATCGACGGTGCCAGCGTAGTGGTGGATCTGGAACATGGGCATATCGCTCTTAATGGACTTTGGACCCGAGAGGGAGCCATATTTGGAATGTGTCGCCTGCACTTCCTCAAGTTTATGCAGAAAAGTTTTTTCATTGGCACGTGAAAGCCGACAGCAGTCGTCGAGTAAATCCAGCACGCCGGAAGACTTGTCTGACTTACCGCCTTCGATCAACTCAATAGTAGGCTGAAGATCGAGCCCGAAGTCAATGAAGTCCCACTCAATAGACTCCTTGCAGTACTCTTCCTGTTCCACAACAAACATGTGGTGGTTGAAAAATTGTTGGAGCTTCTCATTCGTATAATTAATGAACAGCTGGTCGAAACCGTTGACCTTAAAAATCTCGAAACCCGCAATATCCAGAATACCAATGAAAGAGTGCCGCTCGACTTTAGTTTCCAAAGCTTCATTAATTTTTGCAACAATCCACGAAAATAGGCGCTCATAGGTGGCTTTGCATATGGCCTCAATGGCAGACTCCACTTGCGCCTTCCTTTGGGCACGCAGCACAAATTCGGAGCCTACTTTCATGCGGGGCTGCAACAGTGCCTTAGTAAACTCTACTATTGGCAAGGAGAATAGCTTGCATAGCATGTTGGCAGCGACGTCGTTCGGCTGTGAGAATGAATTCATGTTATTATATTTTAAATTCATTTATAAATTCAAAAAATTTAAAAGTAAATTAAATTATATAAAATACTATAAAAAAATAAATTAACTTAAATTATATAAAATGAATTAAACTTAAAAAAAATTAAAAAAGGTGAATAGTATTTATAAAAAAGTTGCACCATTTGGGCTTGTTCTTGCCGATTTTCCGTCAATTCAATTCTCGACATTTTCATAATTCCGGATATAATCTTCCAGCAGTCGTGCTGCTCCTCTTTATTAATGCCTACAACGTCCATAGCCTGAATAGTGTGACTAAATTCTTTCACATCGTCAATGGAAGGCACTTGCGATGACTTTTTGTCACAAATCCACTTAATGTCTTCAATTCTAAATTTTTTTTAATTAATTTTTTTTTTAAAAATTTTTTATGTAAAAAATTAACGTGTCCATAAGCAGCTCTTCTTTGACTGATTCGGGAAGAGCCTTCAAAAGTTGATAATATATATGAAAGCTTCGTTCTCCAGCTTGTTGACGGACAGCACGTGACTTTTCCAATAGGTAAGTATCGATATGGCCTCCAGAAATATTGCCAGAACGGCTGAACTCAATCTTGATAAACTTTCCAAAACGAGAAGAATTATCGTTTTTAGTTGTCTTCGCATTGCCAAAAGCCTCAAGAACGGGATTACACTGAAGAAGTTGTTCCTCAAGTTTTCCTTAAATTAAAAAAAAATTTGATTTACATTTGAATTAATATAGAAAATATTTAATTAGCAAAGGTGTGAAAATCAAAACCTTGCACAGCAGATTCGCCTGAAGCCACAATGGCGATGTATTGGATAAGCTTCTTGGTATTTTCCGTTTTACCAGCGCCGGATTCTCCAGTAACTAAAATAGATTGGTTTTCTCTATCGGTTAACATATTCTGGTAAGCGGTTTCAGCGATGTTGAAAATATGCGGTGGAACTTCAGATCTTCGACGGCCGCGGTAGAGATCAACAACCTTTAAAAAAGTAAAAATTTTATAGTGTATAAAGTTGGTTAGGAAACATCAATATAGTTTAAAAATATTAAAAGCGTACTAAAATAGTTTAATGTTTTAAATTGTTATTAAAGTATGACTCAACCTCTTTACTATAAATTGGAAGTTGTTTGTAGGGGTTTACTACAACACAAAACAGTCCAGAATAAGTATAGATGAGATCGGAGTAGTAGCGCTGCCTCAAATTTTCAAGCACAGCAGGCTCATTTAGATAAGCTAAATCCGCCATGTCTTCGACTTTGTCGAACTTCGGTGGATTCATCTTAAAAATATCATTTTTATTAACAGTTTTCTTTGCATTCGTCTCATAAATCTGCACTTCACAATCATCTCCTAATAAATACATAAATTTATCATAGTAATTTTTAAACTGCTATAAAGAAGTTATAAACACCTTTATCATCGATAATATTAGCTTTTAAAAATATATTTTTCGAGTCTGGATCAGTAATCCAAACCCATTTTCGTTTATTCCACTCTAGAAGAGCTTCAGAATCGCCAACGATCTTGTCATTATTCTTAACAGATAAGTATTTTAAGTAGTCGGTCATGCCGGTGTCTAGCAAGCTATTTTCGTAATATATATTATATTATTATATTAATATTATTTGGCAAGTATATATATATAAGCTTACAGAAATAAGTGATAGACAGTTGAAACTCTTTTTAACTATAAAAGCGCAACTAGTAAAGATATTATAACTTAAGCACCCTGTGAAAGTTTTTATAAAGAGAGCAAGCAATAGGGAGGGAACACCTGTGAGCTTTCAAAACTTGTTAGCGTCCAATAATTAATTGCTTGACATTTATTTATAGCATAATATAAGTATTTAAGAGCGATTCGTAGTTTTAAAATTGCGTGTTGCCAAAATTGAATATAAAAAATACATAAAAGTTAAATAGTTTTGTGTTCTTCACTAGTGGAACTAAAAGTGACACAAGTACTATTTACTTTTAACTTTAATAAAAGATTTAAAGGAAACCCTCGCAACAAAGTTGACCTTTATTGTAATGGCAAATACGCTGAAAACTATTAACGCTGTGTTGAAAATATTATTTAGCAATTTATACACAATGAAAAGAGCCAGCTCGTCACTTGCCTTATATTATGGTGGTTAGATTAATTGATTTAGATAACAAATAAAGCAATAGAGTAACTTTATAAGGCTAATTATCGAGAGTAAAAAGCAATATATTGTGGGCTAAAATAGTCTAAAGTGTACCTTAATAAAATTTTATATACTTAGCTTGGTGATCTAATTCATGTAAGAATTAAGTCCGTAACTACAATCGCACTATTAAATTTAAAAAAAAGTATGAAATTTATATTTAAAAGTTAGTAACTCTTCAGTTTCTCAAGGCTGATGGACTTGTGCCCCTTAGTTACTAACGCTGAGGTAAAACTGTAATTTAAAAACCTTCCCTCCCCAGCACATTAGCCTATATCGATTTTTATAGACACGTTGAGGTCTAATAATGCTCATCCTTTCAAACCAATATTTATTAAGGTTTAACCTGTGTAACTGTATATATACTAATGTATATATTATAAAAATTCATAAATAGGTCACTGGAATCCACCACTAAGTTAACGCTTTCCTTATGTATTATACACCACAAATTTATAGATATTACAGTTATATACTGGTTTATAATAATGCAAAGCCTGCAATTATGAAGGCACCTTTTTACATATGATGCTCTTTATTTATTTACATTTATCGTATTTAAAAAACATCTCTTACTGCCTGATAAACCCGTTTTTTCTAGCACGATACATACAATTGTTTGGTAGTTCATAATTTCTTTTAAATGTAGAGAGTTGTAATTACTTCACCAAAAAAACGCTTTAGTTTTGCTCGAGGAGAGGGATAAGACAACTAAAATTGAAAAGAAGTTAGTTTGGCACTAATAATAGTTCATAATCTATTAAAAAATTAAAATCGTTAATAGAATAACAAAAAGATATAAATTTGTGTGTTAAACCTGTCTTATTGGTCATTTGTACGTTGCTTTGTTATTTTAGTTTTTTTTTTGTTTAAAAAAGGCAACCGTATACTTTCTGGTTGGTGTAAGTGTTTATTATCACTGCTATTGATATTTTAAAAAAAGGCTTGATAAATAGATTAGTAATTAAATTTTTGTTTTTTATTCTAATTAAATTTTACTTCGGTTATTAAAAAAGAGTTTTACAGGCCTTTTTTAAATGCTGTTTACCCCAATTTAAGGTAACAATATAGTTCCGCCTTCACCTATTAGGAACGCCAAAAAAAAATTGTAGATAGTAATACTCTCAAAGGTGCGTTTCGCAAGGAAATGCTTGTGATAAATGAAAAAACCTCAAACGTGAGTGTTTCTATTTTCTCTAAGTGGTTAAATTCTACTGGAAGAAATTTAACCACATATATACACGCAAACAATGCAGATTTTATGAACGTAATGCTATATAGCATCTTAACTAACATTAAGGAAGAGACCAAGCGTTACATGTTGTTTACCGGTTGTTTTTATTGTTTCTTGCACGTTTTTTTCGATAAGATACCTATCCTATGTACGCTCTTATTACGTTATAAAAGGTTTTCTACATTATTATTTTTCACTTTAAAATCCTTTTTAAATTTTATAAAAATCAATACTCAGTACATAGGAAGCGCTTTAAAAAAATTTTTTAATAATACTAGATGCTCATAAGTGAAAATTATAAGAACGACTCTCTTTACAAGCCCCTTTAGCAAAAACATTTCTACATAGCTTTTTGTAACGTCTATAATAAATTTTATATTAAAAATACAAATAAATTTATTTGTAAATCTCATCTATTTAATAAAAGAAATGATTTATAGCAACTGTTTAGGCTTTATTAGGACTCGAGATCTTAAAAAGGGCGTTCTTTTTTTTCTAACGTGTTAGAAAATCTAACAAACCGGTATCTTGTGACAAAAAAGGACGCATGAGAAATATACTTATAGTTCACTAAAAGGAACTTAATTTTACGAGATGGTTAGGCTGTTTTATTTAACGTGTATAAATAAAAAAAAGTTTTTTTGTTCTTGTAGGGCTTAAAATCTTAATAAATTATATTTGCAGTGGAAATCTTTTGGACTTGAGGGAAATCTAACAGTTTTACCAAAAAAAAAACGGGCGTACACATTAGTTAAATAAGTTAATTTTAATTAGCTTACCTTAACAGATTTCTGCATTTATCTCGAGTCCGCTGAGCCGCTGGCCGGGTGTCTACTTTTATATTGTCATTATTAATAGTTACAACTAAAATCTTTGCTCAAATTTTATCAACATTTTTTTTCTTTTAATTTCTTCATGTGCGTTGGAACCTCGGGTTTATAAGGCCACTTGTTTTTAATACCACATTACTGTTATTGCTGTTGTAGGCCAAGGGGCTGTAGTTAGTAGAGAAGGAATAGTTAGCACGTCGTCTATAGAGATATTAGTTAAGTAAATTGTGTTAATACAGAAGTCTAACCGTAAAAATAGTTAATTAGCTAAAGGCAACGCAGGCCTATTGGTCTAAACCGATGTTTTAGCTTGTTTAAACAAATTTACTTAGCTTTTGTGTAAGAACTTACGAGTTTAAGCAGGTAATGTTCGCTAACTACTTCGCATGTTAATCCTACAACCTCAGTAGGTGTACTATTTTATAATTGTATTAAAAAGGTGTGAAGGCAATTATTTTATTCCTAAAGCTGCTTGTAATAAGTTGAACACCCCTTATTATTCTTTTTTTCCTTCTGCATTATAACTTATTGTTTTCTTCTCTTTTTTTATTATTGTAATACCTACTCTGACTACGTTATATAGGTGATTGTATACACACAGTTTTTCAAAATATAACTTTCTTTTTTAGGTCCGTTATATTTAAAAGATATGTTTCAAAAATTTTAACTTGGCTAGTTACTTTATTAGGATACCTTCACCAGACCCAAATTAAAATAGTGGGTATTAGTGAGAAAAATGTAGAAGTATTAAGTTGGTAATCTTGCAAGGACTCGGAACTATATAGTATTGTTATTGACAAGTACTAAAAGATTTAAAACTTTTGATTAGATTTACTTATTTACTTATGTTAAAAATAGTTGCGTAGCTTTTTTAAAGATTCGATTGCTCTCAGTGCCTTGTGAATTGGTACAAATATAATAGAAACTCTTGAAAGTAAGAATGAGTTAGCCTTATCTACAAATAGATTTAGTAACTTTACTTCTTCATTTGAACAAAGAAGAAAGGATGGTCTCAAGGCGGCTGACCCTTTCCTGGTTAATAATTTAATCCTAGAAAAAGGGTTTTTTATAGTTTTTGGTCCCATTTCTAACTTTTATAAACAATTATAGTTTTAGTTGTAAGCAAATTTTCATTGGTCTTTGAATCGTCCTCACTGTGCCGTTCGATACGTGATTAGCAATCTTTTTTCTCACCGGATTTATGAGATTTTATGAGATACCTTTTTTTTTTTTTAACATAAGAGATAGTATAGTTTAGGATTTTGAAGTTGCAGAAGTTTATTTTTCAACTCTTTATCATAAGGGGTTCGGCAACAGTCCGAGCTCCAGCTTGTTGTGCAACTAAAGTTGGGTATGGGCGTTGCCTCCTTAAATCAACAGTTAACATTTAAATTATTCTTTAAAAGAAGGTATCCTTTAACAAAAGACTTTAGAAGTCATTCCACTTTATTCTTATTAAATTTCTGCATAAAAGGCTTTAAACAATTTATTATTATAAGAGAAAGATAATTAAATAAGGTAGAAATTGCTTTTCTTAAATTGTCAATAAAAAAAAGTTTGGTGCCTTAAAAAAATATTATTTAATTAACACTACATACGTTCTAATTATTGCTAATAGCCTTTTAACTTCAACGGTTAGACGCTAATATAGTTCTATAAAAATCTTTACAAGCGAGGCTCCAAGAATAAGTAACTTATAAATTCTTCCTCATCAGAACTTTTTTGAATCAATTTTACTTCCTAGTTGCGTATTATAAAAAACTTTTCAGTGAGAATTAAGAATAATAACAACTTTAAAAATTATTTTTCATAGTAGTTGTTGCCTTCTCGTTTTAGTAAGGAACTATGGAGCACAAAAATGATTTCCTGCCGTTCCTTAAATTTTTTCTTTAACAAAGTAAATGTTTTTCAGTTATAAACCCGTGGCTGGTTTTATTATATTATAAAGCTCATCTTCTTCATAGCTAGTGCTTAAGTAAATAGTATCTTTATTTGTTTTTACCAATAAAAAAGTTCCCTTTTTTCTTAAAGAGCAATTTTCCAACGTCCTAGAAAATAAAGTAGTAAATAGTTTCACTATGGTAGTTCTGGTAAAACTTATAAGTTTAAAAATCTTGAACGAGAACCATTTAATGCACTGTACTTGTTTCCTTCCAGAATTTTTTGGGCTTATTTTTAACACTTCCTCCCTTTTTCTACTTAAGCAAACAAATACTGATTTTTCGCAATGCGCCAAATGATTGTCTATTATTTATATTTTTTCTTTGTTTATTTTTTGTTTTTCTTTATAATATTTGTTATAGTTACTAATTTTCTGGTTATAACCTTAACTTTATTTATTTAGACCTTGCAAACCTTTACCTAGGAACACAGGCAACGTACTATATTTAGTAAAATCTAAAGCAAAATCTTTATTTTAGCTAACCTTTATATACTTACATAAACGTGGTTTAATAATTGGCAATAACGAAAACATGCGTATAGTAAAAGTGTATAACACAGTTGCGCTTTTTTTTGTAGACTTGTTCCTCCGCTTTTTATAATTATTAAAGTGATAATAAACCTTTATCAAACAACTCAATGTGGATTCCGATTAATTAACAAAAAAACTATAAAATTTCTATTTAAATGGATGAGTATGTTCATCTCAATTATAAAGTTTATATATTTTAAACTTACTATTTTTACAAGCAGTATAAAAGTATTGAGACTTTTAAGTCCTCAGTTTGGACAACCAACTATGAATTATAAGTGGCCTCTTATAGTAACAGTTGCGTTAATTATCATTTATAACTTTTTCTTTCCGATAAGTGTAATTTTGTAGAGGATATCCTGTTTCTTCTTTTATTATACCATTTTATTTATCTTCGTTGCACAATTTTATATATTTCTGACTATCTTTTAACTAATTAACTAAAATAATACATTTATTAAACTTTATTTTCAATTTTTTCTTAAATTATTTACTCGCATTTGACTTTTTTTTAATTTACTTTATTTAATAATAAAATATTATCCTTAATCGAAGTTTGTTAAAAGTTAACTTGAAAGTTTAAAAAAATTGAAATTATTTTTCTATAAAATTTGTACAACGAGGATGAAATCAATCAAGCAGCAGAATTATTAGACACCGTGAAGTTAGTTTCAAGTGAGTTTGAAGAAATTGCAGATTTATTTTTAGATGACATTGCAAATATTAACTATAGCGGTTTTTTTTTTATTTTTAATTTCTACTTTTTATTCTAATAAATTAGTTTTGGTGGTTGTATTTTAGGTTTATTTTTCAATTTTTATTTAACGGCTATTGTTATAAATAAGATGGAAGTTTATTATTAATATATAATTTTAATAATCTTTATAACTACAACTTAAATAATAATTAAAGATAAATTTCGTAAATTTAGTTCACTAGTTTTATAAATAATTTTTTTTTATAATTATTTTATCACGAAAAAATAAACTTTTTATAATAAATTTATATTAAAATATTCAAGTTGACCAAACAAACTTTTAAATAAATTAATTTAAAATACTTATACGTTAATATTATATAATTTTAATTAAATTTATCCGAAACTTTTTTGGGTAATTTAATCTTATTAGCGAGTAAAGATATGAAAATTTAAAAATTATTTTATGTAAATATATATTTTATGTTTTTTTGGTTTAATTTATTTTTAGATTTAAAATTTGAATTAAACAAATCATATATATAAAACTTAATAACTTAAAATAAATTTATATATATCTATAAAGTTTTATAGTAATATTACTATCTTTTTAATTTTATAAAATATATATTAATAATATGAAAATAATCTTCATTTTTTTTAAAAATTTATAGTAGAAGCACTTTGTTAATTAAATTATAAATTTTCTTTTAAATTTGTCTAAAAGACTATATATACAGACTATAACTAAATAGTATAGTTTTACTATATATATAATATAATAAATTTTAGGTTTTTTTTTACTCAATTTTAGTTAGTAATTAATAAAAATTATTAATTAAAAAATTTATCATTTTTATTACTCCTTATAAACAAAAATATATATTTGAATAATTTTATTACTACAGCCCTATTATTTATTATATAATAAATATGAATTTTAAAAATTTAAACAATTTTTTTTACTTTTAATAAAGAATTTCATGATATTTTGTTTATAATAAATTTAAATTTTAATAGAAATAGTTAATGTATACTAGTCACAATTTATATAAATTTTTAAAAGGCTTGTAAAAAAATTTCATTATAACTAATTTATAATTTACTCTTTATAAAAATAAACTTTTTTATTTTAAGCAGAATTTCCTAATAATATATTTTTAATAAGTGTAAATTATAATAGATAATTAATATGCATTAGTCATAAATTAATTTATTTTTTTCTCTTGACATTATATAAATTTTTAAAAAGACATTTTTTTTATTAAATTTATTTATTATTTACTATTTTTATAAATAATATTTTTACTTTAAGTAAAGAATTTCAATATTAAGTTTAAATTATGATAATAATTATATATTACTCATAACTTTTTTTGTTTTTATATTTTAGCAAAGTTTTTATAAGGTTTGTAAGAAGAAAACTTGAAATTAATTAATAAATTATCTTTTTTAAAAAAAATTTATATTCATATACTTAAATTAAGTTTTATTTAAAAAAATAAAAAATAATGCTTTCAACTTTTAAATTTTTAATTAAAAATTTAATTTTTTGGATTATATTTCGTATTTACTTCATTTTTTTACTTTTTTAACTATTATTATTGTTATATATTTAGACTGGCATGCAATATCTAGTTTAGTTGACAGTTACAACAGAACTCTTGCCAAAGTCCTTCGCATGCGGCGCAAAGTAAAGAGAAAAAAGAACTTTTTTCCTACTTTTTTTGCAGTTGTTTTGCAGTTTTTTTTATAACTTTACCTTTTTTGTGGAATATGAAAACTTTTATAAATAAACTTTATATTTTTACTTTTTTTCATAAGGAAAGTAAATCTTTATTGTTGTACATAAAATATAAAACTTCTATCAAAATCTTTATTATGTATATTTATGAAATTTTTTTTAATAAACTTCTGTTGTTGTTTTTTTTTATATTACTTTATCATATTTTATTGTATTTAAGTAAAAATATTAATAAAAATAAAAAATACAAAAAGTTATACTATATATTACTTTTTTATTACTTTATAATTTTTTTATATATTTTTTATATTTATAAATTAAAAACGAAACTACCGTTTTTAAAAAAAATTTTAAGTTTTCATTATAAACTTTAATATTGTGTATTATTATTAGAAAAAGTTTCAACTTTTATTAATAAACTTTTAATTTTTATTTTATTTTATTTATTGTATTTTCTGTTAATTATTTTTATTTCTTTTAAAAATAAAGAAAAAACAAAAAATTGAGATTAATTTCAACTTTCTTATTACTTTATAACTTTTTTGTATTATTTTTTTAAACAGAAAAGTTATTTTTTATTATCCCTTAATAGAAAAAATAAAAAGCAATATTATATATGACTTCTCTATAATACTCTCATATTATTATTTATACTCGAATGTAGTTTTTTAATTATTCTTCAGGAGAAAAAATAAAAAAAAACTTTTTATATTTTTTTTGGCTTTTCTTTGTTTGTTTATTTTTTTTTATAATGAATTTTATTTAAACTTATTTTGATTGTAAGAAATTATGGGAAACACAATATAAATTATGCTAACTTTATATATAAAGTTTATTAAAAAATATTTATCTTCAAAGTTTAGAAAAACACTTCCAAAATATTAATAATAAAAAAGTTTTTTTTCTTTAATAAAGTTTTTTATAAAAATAGACGTAAACTTTTTTTTGTGGGCACTACAAATATTTTAAAGTAAAAAACTTTTTAAAAGTACTGCTTTCAGTGCTTTTGGCTATTATTTTTTAAAATATATTTATAATTTATAGGCTATTTTATAAGTATTTATATATATTTTTGTTTATTATTATTACATGGAAAACTTGTTATTAATAGTAGTTATTGTTATTGTGGTTATAAGAAATATTTAATGCATTTATATTTTATTATAAAAATTTTATTAAAATTCACTTATTATTATACTTTATAAAATATTTTATTTCTTAGAAATACTCAATAATTTTTTGTCTAAAAAAAATTTAAGTTTTTTGTATATATATATTTTTTAACTTTATTACTAATAATTTATGAGTCTTATTAATCAATATTATAGTAATTATTATTATTATTTCATAAAAAGTATTATAAATTTTTATATAATATTATAAAGTTTTGACAAAACTTCTTTTTTAAAGTAGTGCTTTAAATATTTTTTAATATAATTTATATAATATATAATTTTCATAATATTATAAGTGATTAATAATTTATGGTTAAAAAAAGATAATTAAGTCTCTTATATTATTTCTTTTCTATTTATTTATGTTTATTATTTTCTATGAAACTTTTTATTAATAATATTAGTTATAGTTATTATAATAAAAGATTTAAAAACTTTTATATTTTATTACAAAACTTTTTTTAACAGTACTACTATAAATGCTTTTATTATAATTTTAATGATATATTTTTATTATTGTTATCATAATAATTAATAATTTATTTCTATTATTTATATTTTTCAATGTTTATTATTTTTTTATATTAAGTTTATTAGATAATAATATAGTATTTACTATATTTATAAACGCTATTAAAAATTTCTATATTTTATTATTAATTTTCTGTAAACTTCTTTTGAAAAGCATTTTTATACTGCTTTTACTACCTTTATATTGTTAATGATTATTATATAATACATTTTTAATTATATTATTTATACATTATGTTTTTATAATTATTTATAAAAAAATTATATTATACATTTGTTTGAAAGTTTAAAATAAACTTTTTTATATATTTATAATGCATTACTATCAACCTTTCAAGTATAATATATTTTTATTATTAAAAAGTATTGAAAAAAAACTTTTTTTATACACATAAAGAATTACTATTAAATCTTTCAAGATAAAATATTATATTATAAATATTATAAAAATTTATATTACTTTTTTTTAAGTTCGCGATTATACGTTTTTATAAGTATTTATTTTTTATAAACTTTTATTATTATGGTTTTCAGTAATTATATTTATAAAAACACTTTTAACTTTCATTATTATTACTTTTGTTTTTTATATATAATTTTCATAGCTCATATAAATGCATTAAAGAACGTTTAGAAAATATAGTTTTCTTTATTATAATACTATTTTATTATATTTTTTGGTTTTATATTATTTTTACTTATTAAATATTTTGGTAAAAAAAAATAAATTATTATTTTTTAAAGTTTTTTTGTATTTATTTTTTTTTCTGTTTTTTATTAAATTTCTTTTTTATTAAATTTTTAATAGAAAATTTATAATTAATAATTTTTTTAATATCTTAAAAACCCTTTACAAAACTTATATAATTTAAAAATATTATTAAATATATTTATTAGTAGAAATGAATATCAATATTTTGGAGTTCTTTTTATAAATTTTTTATTATAATATTTTTTATTATCAAAAACTTTTTAGAGAATATAATTACTTTATTGTTATAATTTTTTATTATATTTTTTGTAAAACTTAATCAAAAATATTACTTTTTATATATATATTTATATTTACTATTTATTTTGTATGGAAGTTTATCATTTTTTATTACTTTTTTATATACAAAGAAAGTTTTTATAGTATATTTTTTGTAAAAACTTTATTAATATATATTTTCTGAACTTTTATTATATAGCAAGTCTATAATAGTTTTTCTTTTTCATAAGTAATTAATAAAATTTTTTAAAATATTATTTCTGATATTTTTAAAAATATATTTTTATTTTTTTTATAAAAATTTATATAAACTTTTCATCTTCATTATATTTTTAGCATCAACAGTCATTATTTTTCTGAAAACTTTATTTGTTGCTATTCTCAGAGTCATCAAGTTTTATTATAATTTTAACTTTTACTATTAATGTCTTTTGCATTATTATTATATTTTTTTTTCAAACTTTACGATTTATGTTATTATTTTAAAAGAAATTTTTTTTTTGTAAATATAATATTCACTATTATTACTATTTTTATTAGTATACTTTTCTTTAAAACTTTTATTATTTGCTTTTAATAATTGTTTAAAAGTTTTTATATATTTTATATTTTCAATATCTTTCGCTCTATGATGAAATTTATTTTTATTGTAAAATATTTTAAATAATATTGTACTTAAAGTTTATTATTTTTATTTTATGCGTTTATAATAATGAAGTTTAAATTTTATGATTTTACATATTTTATTATTATCATAATTATTAATACCCTCATATTTATACATAAAAGTTTTTCCCACTATTATTAATCATTTTTTAATAGTTTAATTTTTTATTATTGGTATATTTATATAAGTTTTTATTATTTTATTTTATCACTTCATTATTTTTTTTATTTTTTTAAAATCTTTTTCTTTATTTGCAAAAGACTATTCATATAATAATTTTATTTATGTCTTAATACTTCTATGATTTATTTCATTTTTTTGAAAAAAAGTAATTTTTTCTCATTATATTAAAAAGTTTTGAACAATTTTTTTTCGTTATATCACTGAATTGTGAGATGTTCTTATTTAATATATTTTTAAAAAAAATAAAGTTTTCTTATTATACTTTTAAATATTTTAATTTTATTACTTTTTATTATCATCATATTTATTACTTTCATAATTATTATTAATATATAGAAAAAAGAGCTCATACCAACAGAAGCATCGGATCTTCTTCTCTCGCATATAACGCGACACGTTTATAATAAAGCCATCGACGACATTTCGCGCTTAAATAAATATAAAAGTTTCTCAGAAGAAGTATTTTTTTATATTAGAATATTTTTTTATTTAGTAGTTTTTTAAAAGTTTTTGTAGGTAATTAAGAAAAGTTTAATATATTTATAAATAAACAGTAATTACATAATAGTTTTTTAGAAGTATTTTTTTTATTTAATATTTATTTATAGTTTTGTATGTAATAAATAAGAAAAGTTTAATATCTTTTTTATATAAAAGGTAATAACTGAAGTTTATCGTATATATATATTAAACTTTTTTTTGTAATAAAAGAATGTTTTCATCTTTAATATATATTATATTAAACATATATTGTTTATATTACGGTTATTGATAGCCTTTATATTAAAATAATATTATAAATTTTTTAGAATAAGAATAAATACAAATATATTTAGAACAGTTTTATAACTTTTTATTTTTAAGAAAAATTATAATTATTTATTTTTAATATGAATATTTTAATAAAATTTATTAATAAAGTTATGAAAAAGTTATTAATTGCAAACAAACTTATATCATAAACTTTTTATATGTAAAATAATAATTATATAAAAACATGTTTAGTCTTTATATTACAAAAAAGTTCTTACGCTTAATGAACTCGAAAAAAATTGTTGGATACCATAATTTACTATAAATTAATGACACGGTTATTTAGTTAATAAGAAATATAAAAATTTTTTCAATATAAAATAAATCCATTTGTTAGACCGTATTCTCATGTCTGTGAAATGAAATGGAGACCATTGGTGCAGTTTGTATTGATGGTATAAGATATATTAAAACTAATTATAAGTTTTTTTTGGCAACTAGTAAACTTAAAAAAAAAAAAATTTGGTTTACTTAAAAGTAACACGATTCTTGTATTCTTGACCCATAAAAATGTACGTATGTTAAAAAAATCTTTGTAATGACGTCAACTAATTATTCTTATGAGCAAATATTAATGATAAAATATATCATTAGAATTCTTTGCATACATAAAAAATGGGGGATTTGTTGGTACGTTTATGCACTAATAATAATGATAAATTGACACAATTTTGCGGAGTAAATATTACTTTTATAAAATTGGGAAGATGCAAACCAATGGTCAGTTTTACACCTACGAAAAAAGGGTTAAGCTTAACCCTTGTTATTGTCGAGTCGTTTTTGCAATCTCTTCCGCCTAACCATATGCTTTTCTGCCAAACCAGCTTAATATTTTTAATTGTATATTTAAACCTAATTAATCATTTTTTTCAACTAAAGCCCATAACTCGCAATTTGGAGCCGATTATAAATTATTTGGTACTCAAAATTATTTTTGAACCATTTTTATTTCGCGGGAATAAGCAAAGCTGATTTTTGATAGCCTAGTTTTTTCGCCTTTTTCGTGACTATTTTTTTTTTCGTATTTAGTTTATTTCTTAGTTTCTATATGATTATTTATAACTATTTTCCTATTATTATGACCTTATTCTGTTGTTTCCTTAACAATAATCGCCAGAAAAAATATACATACATTTTTTAAATAAGAAAAGAAAACTGATAAATTTGTAGGTCAAAAAATATATTATATATAATTATCGATTGTTTAATGGCGATAGTTGATCTATAAACTTAATAATTATAATAAAGCTTAAATAATAATAATATTCTGGATAAAAAAATTAATAATAAATAGAATAATAAAATTGAAATGATAATATTTATTATAATGAAACCAATAATAAATAAAACGTTAATAATAGTAAAACTTAAATAATAATAAATGCATCTCGCCAATGTTACATTATTACTTTGTAATAGTTCATGAAATATTATATAAAAGATAATGAAAATTTTACTAATAAGTATATTGGTAAGTAAGACAAACCTTTTATTTATTTTATATAAAATAATGTAAGAAAGGAGTCACGTTTTTAGTATGTAGAAAAGTACTGTTAGAATTTTTTTAGTGTTAATACGAAACATAAAATCCATTAATATTTTAAAATATTAATAATAATAAACTAACTTTTATTAAATTTTTCTTATAATAACGAATAAAACTTTTAACGTGTTAAACTTTTTAACGATAAAATATAAAATATATTGCTTATAATAAAAAAAAAAGGTTAAAAGTATTTATAATAAACCTTTTTTTATATAAACTGTTTGTTATTTATAAAGTGAGTATGATTAGTATATATATTCCAATTATAAAAAAATATAGTGAACATTATATATAACATCAATACTTTTTAAAATAAGTAATTCTACATATATTTTTATGCTAAATATATATAAATACTTTTTTGTAGTAAATAAATTTTTTTATTATAATAAACTAAAAAATTATATATAAAGTATTTGGAGTAAAAAAATATTTATTGTAACTTATTATAACTAAGTTTTATGATAATGATTTATAAAAGTTATAATGATTTCTAAAGTTAATAATTTTTCATATCATTAAAGTTTTATTTACTTTTTTTATTTAAGAAAATTATTTTAATAAAGATAAACTGAATATATTTAGTATCGATAATTATAAATTAGAAAAAATATAAGTATTATAATTATAATTATAAAACTTTCTTTATTATTTTATAAGAAAGATTTAAAAAAGTAGTTTATTTTTTTCTAATTAATATTATTTATTATATAATTTTTTTATAAAAAAAGATTAAAAATTTTTTTTAGTAGTAATAATTTTATTAATATATAAAGTAACAGTTTTTAATATTATTTTTATTAATATTATAATTATTATTATTAATCATATAATTTTTTTAATAGTAAAGAACTTTTTTATTTTTATAGTAACAAAGTTTTTTAATTTTTAATATTTTTTGCAAGTTTATAATTATTATAATAATTATTATTTATTAAATAAATTTATTTATATATAAAGCTTTTTAATAATAGCAATAAAATTTTATTAATATATGAAATAACAATTTTTTTTAAAAGTTTAGTAAAGTTTATTAATTTTATAAAAAAATTTATTATGAAATTTTTTTTGTTATATTTACTACTATTTATTTTTTATATAATATTTGGTATTAAAAGTATTAAAAAAAACTTTTAGAAGTTGTAATAAACTTTTTTTATTAATATGTAAAAAGTTTTATTTTCTTAACCTTTTGAAAAGTCAACAGGTTTATTTGTATATATTATATACTTTTTATTTATTTAGATAAAAGTCCAAGTAAAACTTTGTTATAAGTTTTTTATTATTTAACATTTTTATAGTTTAATAAGAATTATTATAATCATTATTATTATTTATTACTATCAATTTTTGGTGCTAAAAGTCTTAAAGAATAATAACATACTCATAGTAATAAAAATAAATATAATAATCACTAAAGTTTTTTACTTTTTTACTTTATACTAAAGTCAATATTCTTATAATAATTATTTTTATTATTTACTAGATATTTTTTTTAGCATGAAAAGTTTAAGTAAAACTTTATTAGCAATATATTAAAAATAGTCATTAAGTTTTTTATTTTTAGTATTATATATTTAAAGTTATCACTTTTATTATTATTGTTATATAAATAATTTCTTTTTACGAAAGGTTTTTAAGAGTAGTGAATTGTATACTTAATCAAAAATATATCAATATATTTATAAGGAAAATTAAAAGTTTTTTATTTCTTTTTAATATTTAATAAATAATAAAATAATAAATGTAATTATTTAAATATAAATTTTTTCATGTTAAAAATTTATTATATAAAAGATGGTGAAAGTATTTAATTCTTATAATTATTATATTTATATATTTTTATTGAAAAGGAAAATAATAGTTTTCAATATTTTTGTAAAGTATATAAAGTAATTAAGATTTTATAATAAAAAAAATTTTTCTGTTAAAAAATTTTTTTTTTAGAATAATAAAAGTGTTCGAGAAAAGAAATTAAATATTCTTTTACTTATTAATTATAGTATAATTTTTTGGTATTAAAAGTTTTTTGAATAAGCTTTTTATAAGTAAATAAACTTGTAAAAATAATAATATATTTGTTATCTTTTTAAAAATATATTTTTATAAAATTTTTTATTTATTATCTAAAATTATATTTTAAATTTTTATAGTATTAAAAAATTTACTTTACTTTTTTATTATTTATAAAAAAAAAGTTAATTCTATTAAATTTTTTCAATATATATGCTTTTCTTTTAAAAATTATTAAACTTTTAATATTATAATAAAACTTAAATAATAATTATTATATCTTTATTAATATTACTTATTATCAAAAATAATTTTTAGTTATAATATATACTTTTACTTTCTTATGTAAGTTTATTATTTTTAAAAAAATTATTTCAAAATTTATACTTTATATATCATAATCTGTTAGTTAACTAAATTTCTATAGATTTATAATGACAATAAATTCGTGTAATAAATTTTTTTATGTTTTTTTAAAGAAAAAGTTATTATCACGTATTTTTACTATTAAATACTATATAAAAATAATAAATATTAAAAATTCTTAAAAAACTATATAGTAAAGAAGATTTTAATGTTAAAATTATGATAAATTTTAAATTTTTATGATAAAATATTGATATTATTAAGTTTGTTCTTTTAGTTTGATCATGAAGAAGTTTTACAGAAGTTATAAAAATATAAAAAAAAAGATTAATATTAGCATAAATTATTATTTTTAAAAAAAATTATGTTATGTAGAAAAACTTTATAGATTAAAAATTTATATAATATTATATCATAAAATGTTAATTATTATTAGTTTTATTTTTTTTTAATAAATTTTAACCTTTCTTTATTCTTTTCTACTTTATTGTTAAAAAGTTTTAAGTTTATATTAATAATACACTTACTTTTTTTTAAAATTATTTACTTTTACTTTATAATAAAATCTACAATTTTTATTAGTATTCCTCTCTTTTTAATATATATTGTTTTACTTTTTTTTTCAAATTTTTATTAAAATTTATTAATATATTTTATACTTTACTAATATAATTTATAAATAAAATAATACTGAGTGTACATATTACTATTTTATGAATCATAAAAAATTTATAAATAGTAAAAATAAATCTTTTTAAAAAACTTTTATCATTTCATATTGAAAAAATTTGCTGTATAAAAATACTAATTATTTTAATAATTGTATTAAAAAAGATTTTTTTTAAATAAAGTTATATTATTATTTTTTGTTATTATACTTATATTAATAAAAAAGTTGTATTATCAAAATATTTATAACATATTGTTAATATATTTCACATATTATAATTGCCTTTCATTAAAAGTTTAGGTTTAGAAATTCTACATTATTAAATATTAATAAATGATCAAGTGTGCTTACGCTACTAAAGTAATCTGCATTAAAAAAGGTCACGAGGGCATAGCGAGACGAATAGAAAAAAAAAATTTAGTTGTTTATAAAGCTACTCTATGAGTAGATGTGCCTTTCCACGTGTTCGGAAGCAAAAAGATATTGATACGGTTTACTAACGTGGAGGCAAGAGATGATTTACGGAGTTATTATTTAACAATCAAAGCGTTGTCTAAGAATCATTATATTTTTTATTAAAAAAATTGCTCTTATTAAAAATTTACATATAATAAACACTTATTATTATATTAATGTTAATAAATAGTTAAAAAAAAATTATTTTATAGTGTATTATATTTTGTATTGAAACAATTGCTTTCATAAAAATTTACATATATAAAAAATTATATTAATGTTTTTTTATTTATTTTTTTATTAATATTTAATAGAAAAGTTGTAAAAAAAAATTATATATTATAATGTATTTTTTATATTAAAAAATTGCTTTTATTAAAAGCTTTCAAACTTTATTTTAATATTATACTAATGTTAATAGAAAAGTTGTCAAAAAAATTTAATTATAATATTTTTTTATATAAGTAAATTGCTTTCCATCAAAATTTTAAAAAACTTTATACAATTATTATTATTATAATTATATTAGTGTTAATAAAAAAATTTATAAAATTTTTTATATATTATAATATACCCTCTATATTAAAAAAATTGCTTTCTATAAAAAGCTTACATATAAATATTAATATTATTATTATCATTATGTTAATATTAATAGGAAGGTTGTATAAAAATTTTTATAATTGCTTTCTAAGAAAGTTGACATACAAAAAACTATATTATTATTAAACTTACATAATAACACTAAAATTAAGCACTTCGTTATTTTTATAGTTAATGTATTTTTAAAAAAATTTTTGTTTCCATATCATTAAAATATTTTCCTATTATAATATATTTTTATAAAGTTTTATTTATTTATTTAATCTCAATATTAGTTGAAAAAATTTTTTAAAATAATATTTTCTAAAAATAATCAAACAAGTTATTGTTGTAATATAGGAGCCGCTAAAAATCAATAACTTTATTATTATTATTGCAATTATTTTCCATACAAATAATGCTTGTCAAATGCTTAACTCTAAAAAATATTAATATAAAATTTTAAATTACATTTATTGTATAAGAATAAGTATTTTACATTAAAAAATTTTATGATTGTAACTATAATAGTTACTATGATAATCATAAATAAACAAACAGCTCATTTTTCATTATTTTTCTGGAAATTTAGGTTTATGGAGAGTTCAACTTTAATCTCATGCAAGAAATTATAGCCACTGTCCCTATTGGGCAAAACGACCGCTTTATTGATCTCGGTAGTGGTAATAATTATTACTAAATACAGAAGTTTACGTAAATTTGTGTGATATCCCATTGGGTGGTTAAAAAAATTGTTGTATGGCCTCGGAACTTGAAAATATTTTCATATTTTTTCCTGTAAATGTATTTTTATTATTAAGAATATTATAAAAAGCATACAACTTTCATGGTCTCACTATTATTTTAGTATTCTTTTAGTTTGTTATTATTCACTTTTCCACGTCTTATTATCTGTTTAAAAATAAATTTTAACTTTTTTTTCGGTGACTGTCAATTTTTTCATAATTTTTATTGGTCCTTTATTTATTATTTCCAATTCATTTCTCTATTTTGATTCTTTGTTTATAATAAATATTCAACAATTTTATTTGTACTGGTTTTCATTCTATTTATTAACTACTATTTTTATTATCAATTGCTCATTATTAATTATTTATAATTTTTTTCTTTACTGTAGTATTATTATAAAGTACTATTATTAAATTTAAATAATTATAATATTTTTACTTGATATTTATTAATAAATATTATATCAATAGTACACTTTTTGTCTCAGTTTTTTATTTCTTCTATATTATATTTTGTTTATTTTTTTCTTTTTATTATAGCCGTAAGCATTTACTATATTTATTATCATAATAATAAAAAAATATATAACTAAAGAATATTTTGATGAATAAATTTTTTTTGTGTGTACAGGGAAGGTGTTTATTTTTTGTTTTCCTACTTATAAAAATTGTTAAAAAATATGATTAAGTTTTTTTGGACATCGAAAATAATTAATTTTTTAATTTTTTTAATGCTGCTGTTGCATGTTTAAAATTTTCATTATCATTTAACTTGTCACCTTTTTCTTATAGGCGAGACTGTTTAAAGTTTGTAAGTTTTTAGAAGAACTATTAGTGTTATTATCATAAGTAGAACCAAAAGTTGTTACGGTTTAAAATTTGTCTAAATATTTAGTTCATTGGTATCATTTTCATACTGATGAGTACAAAAGCTGAAATATTGTGTCACGTGGTAAATCTCTTGATTATTTCCTCGTGATACCTTGAAGTTAAAATAAAATTTTAACTATAAATATTTTTGTTAATTTTTAATATTTTTTGTTTCTATATGAAAACAAATTATAAATTTTTTCATTTACATTTTTTTATTTTTGCCTAAAAATAAATAATATATATAGAAATAATAGTTAAACTTTTTTAATATTTTGATATAAAATCATTTGCCTAAGGATGTAATTAATATCATAGAAAGCAACTGCTTTATTTATAAATTTTTTTTACTTAGAAAACCTCATTCGTCCCTTATGATTTTTATATATTTTTTATTGGTTTGTTTTTATTATATCCTATTTGAGGTGTTGGACAAGTAGTTTTACAAGTGGCTGGTCAAACCCGCTGTGTAAAGTCCTATGGAATCGAGAAAAGAATGGATCTGCACAACTACGCCACAGTTTTATTATTATTATTATTATTATTATTATTATTATTATTATTATTATTATTATTATTATTATTATTATTATTATTATTATTATTATTATTATTATTATTATTATTATTATTATTATTATTATTACTATTATTATTACAATTAATATTATTATTATTTTTATTATTATTGTTGTTGTTGTCGATATTTTATTGTTTCTATTATTTACTTCTTTCTATTGATATTTCTTTACTTTTTGTAGTAATATTTTATTTTTTACCACTATATATATTATTATATTCTATTTTAATACATTATTTATGTATTTCTTTTTTATTATAATATACTTAATATTATTTGTATTTTTTTTACTTTTATGATTATATATTAAATTTATATATATTTTTGTTTAATATTTAATCACTTTTTTGTATTTTTTATTTATCTTCTACCATTTTATAAATATTGTCATATTGTATTTATTAATTCATTATTATCAATATTTTTTCAGTATGGTTATTTTAATTTTTTTTCTTTTATAGATAATTTAATTGATATATTTTACTTTTATATTTTATTTTTTCTACCACTTTATATTTATATTTATCTATTATCATTTTTTTTACTACTAATTATCATTGTTACTCTATATATTATATAGTAATTATTAATATATTATTAGTTTATTAATAATTATAATTATATATTAATTTTTATACTTCGATTTCTTTTTACTATTACTATTTACTATTTTTTATGAACTTTTAAAACTTTTTTAGATAAATTATTTACTTTTATAATATTTTTTATTTTTCATATTTTTTTTTATTAGAAAATGCAAACTCTTTTTATAGAATCAATGCAGTGGCATGGCAAAAAGTGCGGCAAGTTTAAGTTATTTCAAGTATAGAACTATTATTATTTCTAATAATTTTATAATACTTTATATTTTTTTAGCTTAAAATTTATTATTAGTACTAAACTATAAAAAAATAATGAATTTTTATAAAAACTTGTTATTATTGGTTGTTCTTTTTCATAATAAGTATTGTAAAATAAATTTATTAATCGCTACAGGGAAACTTTTTTGATCCAAAATGGCTTAAAACTATTGAGAAGTGCACCATATTATTTGTAAATAATTATTCTTTCGGTCCTACTGTCAATTACAAACTTAAAGAAATATTTCGCGAACTTAAAGATGGTTAATTTATTATTGTCCAATCATTACCATCCTTAAAGTTTTTTTCACAAATAATATAAGTACCCCCAATGATTAGAAGACATGTGACTTTTGCTTATTTGTCACAATTTACCTTATTTCTACCTTTTTATTGCTATAAGGGTTCACTATTTATAGCTTGACTCTTTTAGTTAAAAACGTGTTTAGAAAAAAATATAACTGAAAACTTTTTAACTTTTTCTTATATACTTTACCGAAATTTTTGTCTCTTTCATGAAATTTTAAAAGATATTTTCTATTATTTTTATGAATTTTTATTAAAAGCAGGATTTATTATTGTTTAAATATTATTTTTATTATATAAAAATAATATTTAACTCTATAAATTACCAAAAAGATTTATATGATATCGTTTTATCATTACTTTTCCTTATTAGTTTTACAGTTACTAAGAGACTTTCAGCCTTTTCATTAAATTTTTCCTACCATACTATTGAAAAGTCTACCAGTTTTTATAAAACGAGTCTCACAAAAAAACTTATTGGTGTTTTTATAATACTTCTGTTTTTTTTAGCGTCAAAATATGACCTAAGTTACCCGTTATTAAAATGTGTAGCAAAATAGTTTATTAATATAGTTATTATAAGTGTACATGTCAATTTATTTTTACTTTTTTATTTATTACTTAATATTATTGAACTTTTTCTTTTTTTTTATACTATCATTTTGTTTATAGCAATTTTTAACAGCATAATATTTTCTTAAAATAAATGAAACATAGCAATCGAAATTATATAAATACTTTGCCACATCTTTTATTTAAGTTGCTTATATTTCTATAAATATTTAGTGAAGTTCCTTACATTTTTTTTAATGAATAAAAAATTAATCAAGACATCTCTTTTAAAGACACTCTTTTTTTATTTAATAGTTTTTAATATTCCATAAAATTATCAAGATCATTTTTTTTTATTAGTAAATATATTAGTACTGCAGTAGAAAAAAAAGGTTAAAGCAATATAATAATAAAAGTTCCGTTTTTTCGGTATAATAAAAAAGTTGAAGTTATATTGTAATTAATAGTTAAAGTTTAATAATAAATATAAAAAATTCCTTAGTAAGTTTTTAAAAATAAAAATATTATATACTTATCAATGTAAAAGGTAAGTTTATAAAATAGTAATAGGTTTCACAGAAAATGTTGTGAATAATAGTACTCTTCTTCGTATGAACTTAAAATTTTTTAGGAAAAACACGAGCTTTTTGCATGTGTAGTGCCGCCATGAAGGCATTAGAGAATGTTCTGTTGTTTTAACACGCATTCAAAAAAAATTAATAAATTTTTCTGTGTAAGAGCATTACAAGCAGCTTTTTTGTGTTTAAATACTTCCTTATAAGCACAAGTACTGGACCACGTGCGCGTGGGCACGTGACTTTTCTTTTTATAGTAACTTTCCTCATAGATTTGTTGTTTTTTTAAATAACGCGCAACTTCAACAACTTTTTGTAACAAGAAAAACTTAAGAAAACTTATTTTATTAAAAATATATTTAAAATTTACAAACTTTTATTAATAGAAATAATAATTAATAATATAAACTACATTATACAAATTAGTGTGATTATTATTTACTCTTCATATATATATGTTAATAATTTATATTAATGATGTTATATATAAATTAAAAGTAATATTTACTTACTTTCACTTAATATAAAAAAAGGAAACTAACTTACTTTATTTTATATATATGAAATAGAAAAAAAATTAACATAATTTAAATTGCTAATATGCAGCCTTACCATCTAAATTTTGTTATGAAGGCACATGGCGGGTTGCTTTCTTGTCTTGCAGAATTATAGGCACCTTTTTTAAAGACCGCCCTATTAACATTAGCGAAAACTACTAGAGAAAAATTTTATTATTACCTTTAATTACTGGCCAGCTTTCCAAATAATCTTCTCGTTAATAATAAGTTAAAACTATATGTCGGCCTCCATTGGTTAACTAATTCTCATTATATTTCTTCTCTTAAACTTTTTTGTAGGGACTCGTATTATTTCGTCGCAAGCATTCTGTCCTATAAACTTGCGAGTTACAGAAAGAAACCTAGACAGTTACTTTTTGCTAATAATGATAATAATTTTATTAATTATTAAAATATATGAAAGATTTGGGAACGATTATGAACGTCCGCCGTGTAACATTTTCGGAGGAAGGTATTCTTAACGTCCCATCGTATGTTAAAAACTCCCTCATTGGCCGCATAATAAAATTATATACGGAACACCAATGAAGCTTTTACATTTAACAACATCAAACTTTACTAGGAGTTTCTTGGACGGGTAAACCGCTTGACTACTACATTCACGTGATTGATAGAAGCAAACTGGAGTATTTTTTTTTGAATCGAACTTCTGCGCGCACTTCTGTTCTTTTAAAAGAAAATGGGTCCAAAATATACACTGTTAGCAACTATATTGTCACTATATAATAATTCTTAGCTCATCTCCGCGTTCTCTCTCAACCAATCGGAAACGGCGGAAAGGAGATTCGAAGAGGGAAGATGCTAGTTCTGTGGAGAATAATCTATCTGATGCCACACGTGTTTCTGAGAACCACGTCAAACCTCAACATTCTTTAGCAGCTGATAGCGATTCGTTATTATCATTGAACGAAAGTCCATCCACCGCGTTGTTACTAAGCTCTAGCAGTTCATGCGACGAACAAATAAATACGCCTCTTGAATGCCACATCACGAATCCTAATGACTCCTTGAGAATTGGCGTTGCAGGAAGTTCTACGAGCTCATCATTTAGCATCTCTGCTACAAGTCCTTTCTCTCTCCTTGAATCACCTGTTTTGCAGGCTGGTAACAAAGTCTTTTCTGTGGACCAGTACTTGGGTTTTATTATTATTATTATTATTATTATTATTATTATTATTATTATTATTATTATTATTATTATTATTATTATTATTATTAAATTATTATACGCAGCTGCTCAAAAAAAAAAGTTAACAAACTATATGCACTCTCCCACAACTGACCCTTATGTGACTGATAAAAAGGTTTTTGCCGTAATAAATATTAATAATTTTTACAATACTAAACATATATATAAAAAATATTTAGCCAAAAATGGCGCCATCCCAACATTACGTTCATGAAATAGAGAGAAATTTATTAGCAATAAAAAGTAATATTAGTTCGCTACTGCTCCAACAGATATGCGAGCCTTTGCATGTTGGTACTTCTCTCCACTCGACAGGTTTGAATCTTATAATTATTATTATTACTATTATTGTGGTCATTATTAATTTAAAAGTCCCACTTTCAAATTTTATTAGAAATTATTTTAATTAAAATTAACATTAAAGTTATTATACTTTATAAATCATAATTATTTACCTATTATAAATTTCACTATTAATTATTATAATTTTCTTGTTTTCCTTTTTTTTTTAAATATTTATATTTGCCTGCCGTTTTTTTTAGATTTTTTAATCGCTTCGTTTTTATTAGTTTTTAATAACAACAACTTAACGGTTCCTTGAATGTTTACTACTATTATTTATATATTATTATTATTTCTTTTGAGTTATTATCTTTATTTCATGCTATTTACTTTTGCTTCTCTTCGAGAACATTACAGCTCCCTCTGTTATTCCTGAACTATTCATGTCGGTTGACCTACATGCTCTTCTATTAGAAAAAAGCAATTTACAAAAAGAAATTCAAGTATTCCAAATTAATTTATAAATTTAAGTGACTTTTATTAGAATTTTTTAAAAAGTTGCCTTTTTATTATATATATATATATATATAAATTAGTCCTTTTCTTTTTAAAAAAACTTAAGAAATTTTCTATTATTCTTTATTTTATTATATCTAGCCCGATTCTTATAACTCTGATTTAAAAACAAATTTGGTCGCGGATTCTCAGATTGCTAAAGAAATTTTAAGCTCTTGTGAGAATAATGTTAAGGCCTACGAGGATTCTGAACTTACAGACTTAATAAAAAACAACTTTTATAGATAAATCTCTTTAATTAACTTAATTAGAGCCTGTTCAAAAATAATGTTTTCTTGATTTATATAATAGATTAAGTTCTTGACTTAATTTCAAATATTGCGATTATAGAAGCTTTTGTTAGAGCCCGTTTAAAAATAACTTTTACTTAAATTATATAAAATAGTAATAAGCGTTGTAAAAAAAATAATACTTTTTTGTTATTTCTGTATTATTAATTTATAAAGGTAAATTTAAAGATTGTAATTCTTTCGAGCAAAATTTAATTTAATAAGGGTTTATTTTAAATTAAAATTTTTTAAATTCAGGTAGCATTTTATTTTTAAAATACTGCTGAAGCTTGTAATTTTAAAATTTATCAATAAATTATATTGAAATTATTTGATATTTATTTAGCTTATACACTTTATTTTCATATTTTAGTAGTTAAGTAGAACAACAAGTATTGGTGCTTCAACTATATTATAAGTTTAAAGATCTGCACAAATTCATAAGTCAAAGAGAATTTCTAAATAAATAATTATATATAATTTATTTATAGCCCCAAGATATTATGTAAACTATTACTCAGAAAATCTTTAAGCCCGTAAACGTATTACCTTTAATTATACAGATGCCATAAGAAAAGCCCAATATCAACAAGCTAAAAAGATAGCATAAAACTACATGAAGGTAGCTAGAATAAAAACAATAGGGTAAAACTAAATTTATATTTTTCACGCTTACTTTATAAAAATATATATTTTTGTTTAAGACGCCAATATTGCAAATGTTAAAATAAAAATTCAGCAAAAATAGTTGCATCAGTAAAATTTATGGTAAAAACTAATATCCTCACCCGACTAAGTATCAAAATTCGAAATTTTCAAAATAAATTATCCTTGAAAGATCACTCATATAGTAAATTATATCTATAAAAATAAGTAAACTTAAAAGGCTTTTGAAGGTAAAAAGTCAATAACGTTAAAAAAATAATTTATTAAAAAAAAAGAACGTTGAGCAACTTCAATGTAATTTTTAGAGACGACATAATATATAAAAATAGTTAAAAAAAATTTAGCCCATGCAGTATTGCTGCTAGAAAGTACGCAATGCGAACGCTGAAAACAAAACAATAATAAAAACTTTAAAATACACTAGAAGCTTACTTTGTGAGAGGTGGTAAAGAGCTTTAACTTATTCTGCAGTCAGCAGCCTGTTGAATAAAGAGTTACCTTTTACTATTAACTTATTTTATTTTATTTAATTCTATATTATTTAATAATACGCAGCCAACAATGAAATTGCTTTTACCGTTTCTTCTCTAGTTACAACTTAGATTGGTTTCAAAATTGCTATTATTGCCATTAGCAATTCTTAATTACGGAACTGCCCGTCTTGCTCAAATTATAGGCAACGGAAAGAAAGAATTAATTCTTCAACTGGTACAAAAGTTTTTTAATTACATGCAGTGGTATGTGGAGGTAAACGGTTTAAACATACCAAAGTTATGTCAGCAAATGTGTTGCATGTCTTTGTATAAATCCTCCTTTAGGGATTTACCATAATAAAAGTCCGAATTATATAAAAAACCTTTAAAAAAGTTCTGTCCAAGACCCCAGATTTTTCTGACTTAAACGAAGTGGAGCAAATAATTCACTAAATTGCTCGAGTCCTGCCGTTTCCAAAATCGCTAGACACCCCCCTTCCAACCGCTTTTCTAAACTGTGTTATTGTCAACTTTAAGCGTGAGAGCCTCCTTCTTGCGCTTAAGGCGCCCCACCTGAGTAGCTACGGCCTTTCAATGCATTAAAAATAAATTGGCCCTAAGTAGCTTACGCCAGCACATCAAAAAAAGCTGCACATAACCTGCCGAGAGGAAAACTAACCAAGCGAAGTGCCAAAGACTGTTAACAACGGTCATACCTCCTTTTAAAAAACCCTCAAGCGAGTCGGAATCGCGCGCATACACTTCGACCATAACGACTCAAGGGAGGTACTGCTGTTGAAAGCGATGAGAACAAAGGGAACTCTTTGTTGATGATCTTGCTGCCTGGTGTTTACTTCCTCGTCAACTCTACAGTGGCCTTCAGTTTATAAACCCGTGCGATGGAAGATGGCGGTAGTTGTAATGTAACAGTTTAATTAGGTGAGACCACCCCTCCTGGGACTGGGAATTGTCTAAGTAACTCAGCGGTTAAATGCCATTGAAGAGTCTACTCAAGTTCCTAGGTTCGGCCCTCACCGACGCAACTCTCTTTTTCGGTTTTTAATGGTCGCGTATTCAACCTCGCCCTCATAATCTTTAAAAGAGATTTAGTAAGGTAGAATAAAACCACTATCCTCAACAGGTGTTACACTTACTATACGTCTTTGGTGTCTGGGAGGTCTTCCATAAAGTATAGGAGATAGCAAGAAGCCTAGGCGTACTCCTCGGTCCTTCATGCACGCTAGAGAGATAATCGTTTGACTTTTGTATGTAAGTAAACAGTTCCTTTATACCTTTGTAATAGTAACAATAAAAGATAAAGGTAATAATTTTGTGTGAGATAAAACTTGTCTTTATGGTAAATATATTTAACAATATTAAACTTTGTGCTTGAGAGCGTTTCTGGAATGGAGAATTACATTCCTGGATCTGCCAGTTTGCTTAGTGATGTCGATAGTAAAATTTATATTCTCATAATACGTTACTGTGAAACGCTATTTTTACAATTTTTTATACAGAAAAGTTTTTAATTGTTTTACGCGACAATAGAAAGTTTATTGGCCACTTAAGGTCTATAGATCAGTTTGGTATTATCTGATATTTTTATTAACTATATTTTTAAACTAAGTCATGTTCTTTTTTAGTATACTTTTTTAATAACAATAATATCAACACAAATTTCATTTATACAATTATTTTAACTTTAGCTTGCATATATTACCAGCCTAAAGATTAATTTTTTTACCCAAGCAAATATTATATTGCAAGATACTGTTGAAAGAATTTATGTAAACTCCTTCTTTAGTGATATTTTTCGCGGCCTATTAGTAATTCGCGGTGACTCTATTATGTTACTGGGAGAAAATTGTTAAAACTATTTTTGTGTGTATATAAATCGTTAATATTTTTAATTAAGGATCCTAAAAAAGAAGATCTTGTACAATTTTCAGAACTTTCTCTGGAAAATTTTATTGAGATACAAAGAAAGCAAGAGGTAAATTTATGTAATTCGATGTAAATAAATCTAAAGTTCAACTTTATATCTTTTCTCTCTGGTATAATTAAAACTTTGTTTTCCCTTGATTCCGTCAAATTTTAATTTTTCTTAAAAGAAAGAAAAACAAAGAAAGTTGCAGTTAAGAAATAAAATCATGCAAGAGATGGGCTTATATAGAAAGAGAGGCCCAACCCTAGATGAAATTTTTAGCTTGGACTTAAAATAATTAATTTGAAAGCTCTTTTTATTTATACATACTAAATAAACAATTTTTGATTTTTTAACTCACTTACTAAAGTGATTTATACGCAAGCAATTATTATAGATTAAACATTAATTAACGCTTCTTTCAATACGTATTATTAAAAATTAATAGAAGAAATCTTAAATTTTTTGGTTAATATTGCTGCAAAGAGTGTTTAATATTTTTGTGGTGTGCACAAAGTATCTATATTTAGACATTATCTGTATTAATCTTAATATTATACTCTGAAACTTTGAATTTATCAATTATTTTAATGTGTAAGCACCGCCTCTATGTATATATTATTGAGTATCACCATTGTATATGTCCCTCTACATAGTAACTTACTAGAACGCTATCTTATATAAGTAGTAAGCTCTACTCAGTCCACCACAACGAATTGTATCAGTGCCAAGTCAGACTTAGTTTAAGCCCATTCTAACAACCCAAAGAGAAACCTCTCACAAGGGCAAGGTATGCATTCTGGAATGATACTTGAAACGAAACCATAAAAATATACTAAAAAATCACTTACTTCACTAGTAATATGATAGCGTAATTTGTAGAAAACAAATTTTACTTGTAATTTTAATAATTTATTAACCATAAAAAAACCAGTTTTTTTAAAATTTTTAATAGTTCTAGAAGCAGCTTCTTCTCTAATACAGTATCGTAAAAAGCGATAATTAATATTTCATGTTATAACTCTTTAACACGACGGACGAGGAAGGATGGGCTCTTAAATAGCGCTTATATATAATAATTGAAACTTTTTTATAATATTTGTTATATGATTTTCCTATAATGGTTAATATTTTGGGTGATTTTAAATTGCTCACTATTAAGGACTACCATGTCACCTTAACTTTGTCCTGCTTATCTCCTTTATATGACAGTATCCCAAAACCTTGAAACTAAATAAAGTATCGATAGATGTCGCTTCTTAGCGGCAGTTCCGCTTACCAAAAGCATTAAGTATTTTAACTCTGTTAGTTTAATAGTGTTTTGCATAAAAGCAAATGTTTACTTCGAATAAGCCAGTAACGGCTTATGTTACATGCGGTAGTTACGAATAAATAATACGCCAGACGGAATTAGGTTAGTCAATTTTTTTTAATATGGCGTTCCCTGTTGTACTTAACAACACGCTTTACCAAGCTGGCTTAGTTTATATTTATCTTAATTTTTAAGTATTTTCTCAAAATGAAGATTTTTGCTAAGAAGTAAGATCGTTATAAAATGAGCTTAAACGAAAGTAGTCCTACTTAAGCAACTCGCATTAGCTGTTAGTACTGGTCAAGACACATATTTTCAGAAGGTAATTATCCACAATGATTTGTTACTATTCTGTTAAAACAGCTTCAAGCCCACTGCAATAACAAAGGAAAGAAAAAATTAATAAAAAATAATTTAAAGCTAAAAAAATTATTTTCGCGAGGAAAAGAGGACAAAGTTCGGTCTATTATACTTCCCACAAAATTTCACAACGACTAGAGAGTAGTTTTGCAGTAGTGAATAAAATGAAACGTTTAAGCTTCGTTGGGTCGCATATATATATTTATTTATGTAAAAATAAGTTTGTACTCTCCTTAGGACCTCGTAAGACTTTTTATTTGTAAACTAACTCAAGCCCCTCAGTATCAAGGCAATGATTAACTAACAAAAAGTCATGCGTCCCTCAGGGTTACATTAAATATTTCCCTAACCTCTAAGTACTTTAAATAAGGTATCAGTCAAGCCCTAGAGACATCAGGCAGAGGCCGCAAGATTTGATTCTGAGTAACCGCTGCATACATATGTATAATTTAAGAATGTACATATAGTACGAAGTAAACACTCTCAATAACCAATTACTGAGTCAGTCAAAAGGTTAATAGCACAGTCGTCCACTTAGGAATAACTAAGTGTCAGTTAGAACTTAATGCATCCGGGGGGCTCCGCATTATGTAATGTATATACTGGGAAATAACTCTATTTAGTATGTATCATCAAATAAAACTATACCCGAGCCGTGTCAGTAAGATAATTGCTGTAAAATAAGCCTTAGAACCCGTTGACAGCCCTACAATGGTTAATTGTTGACTTTGAACAAAAAAAGCATGATTAAGGACGGCACCAAAGTTCGTTGCTCGCCCCCGCGCACTTTCTTATCTTGAATTTCAATGTTAAGCAGGATCTGCACGGGCAACCTTCGTTCAGTCATGGTTTAAAGTCAAAGACTTATTTCTAGCCCTCAGCTGTCTACATAACGCTGTCAGCTCATACCTTGCGAACTACGTTAAATTCTTGTATACTCTTTAATAGAGCGAGGCTACATCGGGGTGCTTGTAAACGAGAACCTATAGTAAAGTACAGCAACCAGCTGTCGGTAGTCTACTCACTGATCTCGAATTTCGGTGCACTGTGGACGTATCCCGGGGTAGTTGTTCATCCATGGGTTGATTATCGGCAGAGGGTACGCTGGGGTACCAGCATTGTCATGGTTAGTACCCCTTTACGAATTTGAAGGTTAGTAGCAAAGACGAACGCCGCTTTAGCAAGAGCTTGTAACCAGTGAGGTTACTATAGGAAACTTCTTCCTTTGGCTTCATGCTAGGTGAGTTTGAATCATCGATTAAAATTGGTTGCTCTGTCCGGAAGAGCTGCTCTTAATAATGGTTAATCCGGCGCTGACTAGAAGCCTAAGGAAGGTCCATCTTAGTGTCTTCCAGAGCTGGGTGAACTATGAACTGGTCATACTTTATTCTAGTGCATTAATGTGCGCCTCCTAGCTAACTGTATAATCGTCTCTATTGTTGTAGACTTATTAGTGCTGGCTTAGGCCTTCGTTTGGTAAGTTTAATTGAATAAATTTCAAAAAAGGTTGTAGCTATGTGCAGTAAGTTAAGATAACTTTAGTAACTAGTTGCGAACAAAAACTAAGGTTATGTCTGTCCTATCTTATGAGTCGCAAAGTTTAAAATACTTTTAGCACTTAATCTCGGTGCTGTTTCAAATAGTTGAAGACCGGTTTATTTTATTAGTAGGAAGTTTCTGAGTTTTAGTAGATTATTAGGGCCTTGACTCAACTCTTTAGTGCCAGCGGTAGCTTTCCGCTAGGGCTTCAAACTTTCTTGCCGCCCTTTTCAGCATTAATAATAGTGCTCTCTTCCTATAATCCCTACAATTCTAGCATAGTGCTATATAAACAGACTAATACTATAACGTTATTTTCTAGTATATCCTATATTTATAGATGTGACGGTTATAAAATTAGAAAATTGTCTAAGAAACCCAAAGCATAATACCCCGGCAGCTTTCTGAGTTAGTAAAGTGGCCCAAATAAACCATATGTAAGAAACCAGTTTTTGGATGTAATTAGTTCAATAAAAAAACTCCTCGTTCCAATCTTGGTGTCCTGGGTTTTACAAAAAATTGGGAAACCTTTTTCAAGCTTTCTAGCCTCTATCATTAGGAACACTGACTTTAAATATTTCAAAGCAGAAAACACGTACACTTTAAATAAATTATTAACGGGTAACTATCAAGGTTAAGGGAAATTTTGCTGCAAAGCACACAACAAACGATTTATTTCTTCGCCTTTAATCGTGGTATTGTACTCGTCTGTTCTAACTTTGTTTTGAAGCCTGTTAAGTTTTGAGACTCGGGGCAAGTTGTGCGAGATGCTGCCCTACCACAGCCTCACCACGCGCTGTAGTCACGTATTTTTGCACATGTTGATTTTTTAAACATTTCTTTAATACACTTCTATTATATAATTTGTGTAAATGCTCAGTAAAATCAAGAGCAGACTTCTAGTTTTAATAAAAAAAATTAAACTATTTTGGGTGTTCGTATTCAGTTTCCGCAAGTCAGCTCCTTATTTATGCAAATACGTCAGTGTGTGTAGAGATTACAGACTATAAGTGTGTTATTAGCCAGAATTTGTACGTAAGTTCTTAGTTCACTTGTGGCTTGGACTTCCAAAAGCTTACATAATAAGGTGCGCTTTATACATGCATTTGCTAACTACAGTGGGGAGAAAATTAAGATCATATTTAAATACTGTATTTCTTTCTGATTGGTCTATTTATATACTATTTTTCCTGTAAAAAATTTAGTGAGGTTACGTTTTTCTGTATGTCCCGTATGTGTTTCTTGGTTGTTGGTTGTATGGAAGTCTGTTAGTGGTTTAAGTATATGAATAGTTTTATTTATTAATTGTTGTAATATTATTAAAATTATAGATATTTGGTTAAGTGTATTGCGATTTTGTTATTAGACGTTTTTTTTACACTTTTTTTTTTAATGTTAGATTAATAAAACGTTTAATATATGTCGAACACTTAATTTTTTATTTTAATGCAATAAATTTTATAGTAATAATGTTTCTTCCGCCAAAGAAACTAACATAATTGCGATCAACTCATGACAGAAATGCGTATATACCAGAATTATTCGTAAATCGATGGATCCTTCAATATAATTAGAAATATTTTTTCCGTGACGTCTAATAAAATAAATAATAATAATAATAATAGTAAAAGAAACAATAATAATATACAAAGAAAATTATAATAATGAGAGTAATAACAACCATAACAATAACAATAATAGTAATTATAATAAATATAAGCACAAATAAACACGATAAGATCATTTTTTTATATTTATGAGACAATTATATATGAACTTTTTATTGAAATAAATATTGATAATAATAAAAATAATGATACATAAAATAATTAATTATTGAACAAATATTAATAAAAATTCCTGAATAAATAAAAGTTTTACTGTAACCAATCTCATATAATCTACATTAATAATTTGTTTACTTAAGCGGTTTAATACTTTACTTTAGTGATGATAAAGTATATCGTTATCATTATTATTATCGTTACTATTTTCTTCCCTTAAGTGGTACTTTTTTAATTTTTGTTACCTCCCCCCCCCCCCCCCCCTCCCCCAAAAAAAAAAAAAAACTTTTATTTATTAAAGTATAAC